AATATGTTATTGAAGTAAAAATTATGTTCAAGTGTTCACCATTATGCTAGCTCAATATTGCTCACTCGCAGAGCTATGGCTAATTTAGGCTCCACATTTCTTGAGATTGACCAATATGTTTTTCTGAAAGTCAAATATGTTCTTTTTTTGATAGAATACAAAAACATTAAAAATATATACGTTCTCCAAAAGTCATGAGGCAGTGACCCAGCTATCATCCCATAGCCTACATTGCATATGAAGTGTGACTGGCTCATCCGTGGATGTAGAAAATGCCCTTTGTTTTAACTTTTTGTGTTGGCTCCCCCACGTGGGGGGTCGTTTCCTCTGATTGGCTCAAAGTCAAGTTGTTGGCGACGATTCTACAAGTAGAAACGGTAGGTTCGTCGCTACGGGGCGGCACGCAGCAGGTACGGCTTTTGTTCTACCACTGTGATAAGTACCTATTGGCAGTGAGATTATAGGTGTGTTTAATGCTTTAAGTATTAAGGTTACTCCCAAAACATTAAAGAATACACTAGGCTATTTAGGCTATATAACACCTCAAATGGCCCCCTTTTCTGGCACACACAATGCAACATGTGATTGATAATAGCTGTAATTAAAATGTGATTGATAGGGTCTCTAATCAATAGGGTTCAAATCCAGGTCGCATTACAACTCTTGTGAGGTGATAACTGTCTATCTTCAATTGCTGTCATCTGGCTACTGGAAATGTATCAAAAAGGTTTACAACATGTTCATATGATTTGTGAATTTTATTAAACTTTCATATAATGAATTCTACATACAAGTGAGGTCAGTATATATAAAGTAGACATATGCACATGTATCTGTCCAAAACAATTTCACAAACCCATATTCTGTCATTTTTCTGTTACAATCAATAACTAATAGCCACATGAAACATGTTTGCCCTGCTTTTATATCACAATTACTATAGTTTGTATTAATGACAATTGTACTTCAGTAAAAAAAATGTTTTCAATGAACTAAATTCCTGAATTTGTTTTATAAATGTATTTGTTGTTATGACATTGACTTGTTTACCATTGTGCATATGTTTAAATATGAATTCTGATTGTGAATTCATTCAGGTTCTGGAACACACAGATATTGATCCTCATTTTGATATGTTTTCAATCAAATATACATTACCAGTCAAAAGTTTGGACACACCTACTAATTCAAGGGTTTTTCTTTATTTTTACTATTTTCTACATTGTAGAATAATAGTGAAGACATCAAAACTATGAAATAACACATATGGAATCATGTAGTAAACAAAAAAGTGTTAAACAAATCAAAATATATTTATATTTGAGATTCTTCAAATAGCCACCCTTTGCCTTGATGGCAGCTTTGCACACTCTTGGCATTCTCTCAACCAGCTTCATGAGGTAGTCACCTGGAATGCATTTCAATTAACAGGTGTGCCTTCTTAAAAGTTAATTTGTGGAATTTATTTCCTTCTTAATGCGTTTGAGCCAATCAGTTGTGTTGTGACAAGGTAAGGGGGGTATATAGCAGATAGCCCTATTTGGTAAAAGACCAAGTCCATATTATGGCAAGAACAGCTCAAATAAGCAAAGAGAAATGACAGTCCATCATTACTTTAAGACATGAAGGTCAGTCAATACGGAACATTTCAAGAACTTTCTTCAAGTGCAGTCGCAAAAACCATCAAGCGCTATGATGAAACTGGCTCTCATGAGGACCGCCACAGGAATGGAAGACCCAGAGTTGTTCTGTGCATACAACTACGGTAAGTAGGATCTACCTCTGCTGCAGAGGATAAGTTCATTAGAGTTAGCGGCCTCAGAAATTGCAGCCCAAATAAATGCTTCACAGAGTTCAAGTAACAGACACATCTCAACATCAACTGTTCAGAGGAGACTGTGTGAATCAGGCCTTCATGGTCGAATTGCTGCAAAGAAACAACTACTAAAGGACACCAATAGGAAGAAGAGATCTGCTTGGGACAAGAAACACAAGCAATGGACATTAGACCGGTGGAAAGTTATCCTTTGGTCTGGAGTCCAAATTGGAGATTTTTGGTTCCAACCACCGTGTCTTTGTGAGACACGGTGTGGGTGAACGGATGATCTCTGCATGTCTAGTTCCCACCGTAAAGCATGGAGGAGGAGTGGGGGTGCTTTGTTGGTGACACTGTCTGTGATTTATTTAGAATTCAAAGCACACTTAACCAGCATAGCTACCACAGCATTCTGCAGCGATAAGCCATCCCATCTGGTTTGGGCTTAGTGGGACTATTATTTGTTTTTCAACAAGACAATGACCCAACACACCTCCAGGCTGTGTAAGGGCTATTTGACCAAGAAGGAGAATGATGGAGTGCTGCATCAGAAGACCTGGCCTCCACAATCCCCCGACCTCAACCCAATTGAGATGGTTTGGGATGAGTCGGACGGCAGAGTGAAGGAAAAGCAGCCAACAAGTGCTCAGCATATGTGGGAACTCCTTCAAGACTGTTGGAAAAGCATTCCAGGTGAAGCTGGTTGAGAGAATGCCAAGAGTGTGCAAAGCTGTCATCAAGGCAAAAGGTGGCTATTTGAAGAATCTAAAATCTAAAATCTAATTTGATTTGTTTAACATTTTTTGGTTACCGCTTTACGGTGGGAACTAGACATGCAGAGATCATCCGTTCACCCACACCGTGTCTCACAAAGACACGGTGGTTGGAACCAAAAATCTCCAATTTGGACTCCAGACCAAAGGATAACTTTCCACCGGTCTAATGTCCATTGCTTGTGTTTCTTGTCCCAAGCAGATCTCTTCTTCCTATTGGTGTCCTTTAGTAGTTGTTTCTTTGCAGCAATTCGACCATGAAGGCCTGATTCACACAGTCTCCTCTGAACAGTTGATGTTGAGATGTGTCTGTTACTTGAACTCTGTGAAGCATTTATTTGGGCTGCAATTTCTGAGGCTGCTAACTCTAATGAACTTATCCTCTGCAGCAGAGGTAGATCCTACTTACCGTAGTTGTATGCACAGAACAACTCTGGGTCTTCCATTCCTGTGGCGGTCCTCATGAGAGCCAGTTTCATCATAGCGCTTGATGGTTTTTGCGACTGCACTTGAAGAAAGTTCTTGAAATGTTCCGTATTGACTGACCTTCATGTCTTAAAGTAATGATGGACTGTCATTTCTCTTTGCTTATTTGAGCTGTTCTTGCCATAATATGGACTTGGTCTTTTACCAAATAGGGCTATCTTCTGTATACCCCCCTATCTTATCACAACACAACTGATTGGCTCAAATGCATTAAGAAGGAAATAAATTCCACAAATTAACTTTTAAGAAGGCACACCTGTTAATTGAAATGCATTCCAGGTGACTACCTCATGAAGCTGGTTGAGAGAATGCCAAGAGTGTGCAAAGCTGTCATCAAGGCAAAGGGTGGCTATTTGAAGAATCTCAAATATAAATATATTTTGATTTGTTTAACACTTTATTGGTTACTACATGATTCCATATGTGTTATTTCATAGTTTTGATGTCTTCACTATTATTCTACAATGTAGAAAATAGTAAAAATAAAGAAAAACCCTTGAATGTGTAGGTGTAGGTGTGTCCAAACTTTTGACTGGTACTGTATTTATAACCATTCTTTGCATACCGTACATGCTCTACACACCAAATGATCAAGTCAAGATTAAAATTGGCTCGAAATAAAAAGGCACCATATACTTTGAAAAGAAAAGTTCCATTCACACTTGTTAGCTGTTTTAATCTGTTTAATTTTCTCTTTCATAAAGTCAATGAGCTGTAAACGTGTGGACACGATCTGAAATCAAACACATTAATGATGCAATGATTGTTTTGAGGAGAGGGTGTGGTATGTGTTAATTCTGTATGTGTGTCACATGGTTAAGGCAATTAGGCCAGGGGTGGGGGGAAATGTGTTGTAAATGACCTCCTTGAGAGATGAAAACATATTGACTTAAAATGAAATACCACACCCCACTATTCCACCTTCCTCTTTGGAGTTTGGTATAAAAACAGCACTGCTGATCTCCAGTGTTAGAGCATCAGAGTTCTCTAGCAAGAAACATTTCTTAGATCCACAAGTTCTTCAGTCACAGAGACTGAGGACTAGACCAAGACTAGAGCAACCAAACACAGAGCTAAACAACAGAGAAATGTTGATGGACTGCAACATCGGTGAGGACAAAATCAATGGATTTTGGGCTTCTGGATTTTGCCTTTTTTTTTAAATATATTTTTTACTTTTAAGATCACAGTTGTGCTGTTTTTACTTACATTCTCTAGTATATTTATATAGTCTAGTTACATGCAACAAGGCAAACCTGATTGTATCTATGTGGTTGGTAAGACTTTATTTGGATAGTCCATCTAACTATCTACTAACCCTAACCCTAGCCCTAACCTTAACCCTTATCCTAACCCTAAACTTAACCCTAACCCTTATTCTAAACCTAACCCTAATCGTAACCTTAGCAAGCAGTTGCTTATCAATAGATAGTTTGTTCATAGTATGACATAGTATTCGGACTATCCAAGTGTTTGTGTTTCTGTCTATTCGTAGTATTACATACTTAACATGTGCACTGTCCTCAGTGAATTGTATGTATTTACTGTATTAACTGTCTCGACACAAGTTGTTTGATACTTTACACTGTTTGTCTTATATACTTGTGATTCATTCGTCCTTTACCTTTTGTGTGTGTGTTTGTTTGTTTTGTTTGTTATCTCTTTGTATTGTTTGAAGTGTGCGTCTATTACCAGTAGGAGATGGTTGGGCAGTGAGGAAGAGGATATTTCCCTCCCTCATGCACTTCCCTTTGTCCCATTGCCATTGGCTCCTGCCTTGATGTAATCATTGGGATGCCAGAGGTATTTAGAGCTGTAGTGGCCATTTCGTTCTATTATTCAAAATACAATATCTAAGTCAATGTGAGTAACATTGGTGCTGTTCTGCAGGTCAAGACAACTTCGCACAGATGGGTGCTAGGACCATGGGACGCAGGAAGAGAACTAGCTTCACCAAAGAGTACCTGGAGCTTCTGCGGGTGGCTTTTGATGTTGATCCCTACCCAAGCATTGCCGTGAGGGAGCGCCTATCCCAGGCCACTGGCCTACCAGAATCCCGCATTCAGGTAAGTGGTTGCACACACGCACGCACACACACACACACACACCTTTCCTATTCAATTACATTGTAAAAAGCACATTCTCATATAGCTATCCCTATCTGTTGCAGGTGTGGTTTCAGAACAGGAGAGCCAGAACCCTGAAGCACAGGGGCCACAGACTCTCCCCGCAGCCAGAGTCAGCTCACCTTATCCCCAGTCCCTTTCTACCTACACAACCTTTCTCCACACTCCTCCATGGGATCAAAGATGTGACCCGCCAGGTTGACATAGAGAAAGTCTCTCATTACCAGCCGCTGAGCCACAGCCAGATGCATGAGGAGGGAGAGGAGGACTGCTTCTACGGTCCCTCATCTTGTCCCCCCTCTTTCCCGCGCTCTCCGGGGGATGCCGGATACAGCAGTCCCTCATTCAGTGTGGGAGTGAGACACAGGCTCCTGGGCACTAGCTCTCCAGGTGCTTTGCCAGAAGCTCAATGGTGGAACGTTGCCCAGGAGTTCACATTCTGCTCCCAGGGCGAGGGCCAGGCCTTCCGCTACTCACCTCCGTCTGGACTTCTTCATCCCCAGCATGCCCACGGTGGACTCCAGTCCGTTCATGCCAACAGCACCTTCGACCCGTTCTCCGTTTGCCCTGCCACACCGGACTCAGCCTGCTGGGACATAGGACTTGAGAATCCCTCACCCACAGACCAGGGTTTCCTGTATAGGGAAGTCTCAGATGAGTACTCAAGTCCCTCAGGGCTCTTTGATGCTATGCAAGAAGCCCCACTACCTGAACTATCTTCCCAGTGTGTGGAAGACATCTTTGGGCAGATGTAGACGGAGTAGAGTTCAGTGGCAGGACCAGTAAACACCCCTGCCATTTTCTAAGTCTTCAATGGCGAGGGTTGCCAACACTCCAGGTTTGGCCTGGAGTATCACATAATAGGTCTAGCTCTTGTGAGAATTAGTGCTATTCCGGGACTGTTTAAATTGAACAAATAACGAACAATTTTATTATGTCGATGTACTTATAATCAATCCCAGAATGAGTTCGGCAACATTAAGGCAGACCTGAATGTATTCGCCATGTACAATAGGACTGTTACAGTAATAGCTGCTGTGCTGTTATGTAGGGAGGTAAGTTACTACTATAATATAGGCTTAATCTATATATATAAATATATATTTACATGTATTTAACCAGGCGAGTCAGTTAAGAAAAACACATATTTATTGGCTATACATGGTCTATAATATAAGTAGAATAATACATTGACAATTTATTTTACATATTCTATCACTATTTATTGTATTTATTCAAAATAAACACCTACTTTATGTGAACTGCTGTTTTGATAATTGATTCTCTAATAATTGACAATGAAATAGGACAACCATACCATACCCGCAGTAATTTGAGTCAAATGTGCGGTAAGTAGCATGTGACTCCCATCTAATTTAGGAGAAAGCTTTTAAATCAGTCTTCCTTTGTCATTGATAGTTTTGACAGATATATTTGTGCAGCGATTAGACTACAGCGGAACGTTTTTGTAGGCGGAACGTTTAAATTGGTGTGATGTTTCCTATACTACTGGAAATACAGATGGCTGTCACTTCCGGATTTGCATTACACACGTGAGAAAGTTGGAAACACGTTTGTTTTGCAACTATTGTATTTATCCAGATGAAGTAAACAAATGCACTTCATTAACTGACTGGAAATCAAGTCGTTGGAAGTAGCTATCTCACAGGTAATGTGGCTTTATTTCTCCCTGCTTTCATACGTTGCAATTAGCTTTGCCAAGTACCTCAACCAGAAACCTGGTCTCAGAGCAATTCGTATTATTCTGTATGTAAATGCGACACACTCCATGTATACTGAACAAAAATATAAATTCAACATGCAACAATTTCAACGATTTTACTGAGTTACAGTTCATATAAGAAAATCAGTCAATTTAAATAATTTAATTAGGCCCTAATCTATGGATTTCAAATTACTGGGCAGGGGCTCAGCCATGGGTGGGCATAGGCCCACCCACTTGGAAGCCAGGGCCACCCACTGGGGTGGCCGAGCCAATCAGAATGAGTTTTTCCCCACAAAAGGGCTTTATTACAGACAAATACTCCTCAGTTTCATCAGCTGTCCTGGTGGCTGTGCTCAGACGATCCTGCAGGTGAAGAAGCTGCATGTGGTGTCCTGGGCTGGCGTGGTTACACGTGGTCTGCGTTTGTGAGGCCCCGGTTGGATGTACTGCCAAATTCTCTAAAACAATGTTGGAGGCGGGTTATGGTAGAGAAATTAACATTAAATTATCTGGCAACAGCTCTGGTGGACATTGCTGCAGTCAGCATGCCAATTGCACGCTCCCTCAAAACTTGAGACATTTGTGGCATTGTGCTATGTGACAAAACTGCACATTTTAGTGGCCTTTTATTTACTCCAGCACAAGGTGTAATGATCATGCTGTTTAATCAGCTTCTTGATATGCCACATCTGTCAGGTGGATGGATTATCTTGGCAAAGGAGAAATGCTCACTAACAGGGATGCGAACAAATTTGTGCACACAATTTGAGAGAAATACGATTTTTGTGTGTATGGAACATTTCTGGGATCTTTTATTTCAGTTCATGAAACGTGACCAACACTTAACATGTTGCATTTATTTTTTTGTTCAGTATATATGTTACGTTTCATATGTATTAATTTGTGGATGTCCATCATCCATTTCGGATGACAATTACGAATTACAATTCGTATTATATCTTAGGAATTTGCTAAACTTATAACATTCTAGGCTAGGGGTTAAGGTGAGGTTAACATGCTAAATAGTTGCAAAGTAGCTAAGAAGTAGTAACTAGTTGAAAAGTTGCTAAAATGCTAAAGTTGTCCATGATGAGATTGGTATCTATGGGAGAGCCATCCCTTAAGTAGACTGGAACTGTGCCCATTTTTTTCAATGGTAAACTGCCTGAGTAAAACATCTTAATTTATCCACCAGTAGCCCACCGGCCAGCAGATGGAGCTATTATTCCATTTAGGTTGTTTGTCATCTGCGTCCAACTGGAAACTATGCAGTCGGCTATATACTTGTCGTATCCCCTGTTCACTGGCTTGTACATAAAACATCCTCCATTCAGGCTGCAAGGGCATTGATTTCCTCCTTGCCTAGCTTTACAGGCGAGCCTGTAAACATATACGTGCTGTAAAAAACAAACATTTCCACCACCATGCTAGTGGCTAATGCTACTTCCTGATTTGGAAAAGTCTAGCGTGTTTTGTTTACATTTGGAACGTTTACTGACATTTGCTATTTCCATCAGGCCTTTCATGACATTTAAAAAAATCCTACATGTACATTTATCCTAAATGCGCATAAAAGGTTGGATGGAAACCTGGTTAGTGGCATATCCCATCCCTGCATTGAGGTATGTTTTCCAACCCATATCTCTCGCCGGCTCTGTGGTGTCTTAATCTAACCATGATGGCGTTCCGACTCCAGTGCAACTCAGTGTAAACAAGTTGGAATCTGCTGGCTAAGTCGGCTGCATAGATTCCAGTTGGACGCAGTTGACAAATGACGTAACATTTTGAAATGAACCTCCGACTCCTTTGAGTTGCTATGCGTCAATACTTTAAAAAATGTACATTCTTAAACCATTACCGTGTACCTATGTTTGTCCTCTGTTGCGTGCCTTTCTTAGTTTGCTGAAATCCATACATTTTTATAAAACGTTAATCAAATACAACCACCAACTTTTTCCTTGTTAAGATTCAATTGGCACATGTGCATTCACACTGAGTTGCCTTCTTAGAGCAACGGCAATGAGGAAACAGTAAGTGGTTGTATTTGATTAACGTTTTATTAAAATGTTTTGTTTTCAGCAAACAAAGAAAAGCACGCAACAGAGGACGCACATAGGTTCATTAAAAAAACTATAGTCTCAACTACGTGAAGGAGTTGAGGTACTTGGCATCAATTGGCTACAATTTGTACGCCAGATTATGTGATATCTTAATAATACGTTTCCATTACTGGGCGTTACAGGTTAGCTTATACAAAACGTTGCCATAGTCAGATTTTTCTTAACAATAGTTTTTTTACCGAATCGAGAATGAAGAAAGTATCCTAGAAAGTCTGTGTTCAGTTGCAGGTGGTTCTCCAAAAACCAGAGACTATTCAGAAAGATATTAAATCCACGTTTGCACCGAGTGAGGAGTTTCCTCGGCATTTTAGCTGCCAGACATCTTGCATTTCCCAACATCTTTGCAGGAACTAGTCATTTCTATGTCCTGCGGCCACTTGTAGAAGTACAGTGGGGAAAAAAAGTATTTAGTCAGCCACCAATTGTGCAAGTTCTCCCACTTAAAAAGATGAGAGGCCTGTAATTTTCATCATAGGTACACGTCAACTATGACAGACAAAATGAGAAAAAAAATCCAGAAAATCACATTGTAGGATTTTTAATGAATTTATTTGCAAATTATGGTGGAAAATAAGTATTTGGTCAATAACAAAAGTTTCTCAATACTTTGTTATATACCCTTTGTTGGCAATGACACAGGTCAAACGTTTTCTGTAAGTCTTCACAAGGTTTTCACACACTGTTGCTGGTATTTTGGCCCATTCCTCCATGCAGATCTCCTCTAGAGCAGTGATGTTTTGGGGCTGTCGCTGGGCAACACGGACTTTCAACTCCCTCCAAAGATTTTCTATGGGGTTGAGATCTGGAGACTGGCTAGGCCACTCCAGGACCTTGAAATGCTTCTTACGAAGCCACTCCTTCGTTGCCCGGGCGGTGTGTTTGGGATCATTGTCATGCTGAAAGACCCAGCCACGTTTCATCTTCAATGCCCTTGCTGATGGAAGGAGGTTTTCACTCAAAATCTCACGATACATGGCCCCATTCATTCTTTCCTTTACACGGATCAGTCGTCCTGGTCCCTTTGCAGAAAACAGCCCCAAAGCATGATGTTTCCACCCCCATGCTTCACAGTAGGTATGTTGTCTTTGGATGCAACTCAGCATTCTTTGTCCTCCAAACACGACGAGTTGAGTTTTTACCAAAAAGTTATATTTTGGTTTCATCTGACCATATGACATTCTCCCAATCCTCTTCTGGATCATCCAAATGCACTCTAGCAAACTTCAGACGGGCCTGGACATGTACTGGCTTAAGCAGGGGGAAACGTCTGGCACTGCATGATTTGAGTCCCTGGCGGCGTAGTGTGTTACTGATGGTAGGCTTTGTTACTTTGGTCCCAGCTCTCTGCAGGTCATTCACTAGGTCCCCCCGTGTGGTTCTGGGATTTTTGCTCACCGTTCTTGTGATCATTTTGACCCCACGGGGTGAGATCTTGCGTGGAGCCCCAGATCGAGGGAGATTATCAGTGGTCTTGTATGTCTTCCATTTCCTAATAATTGCTCCCACAGTTGATTTCTTCAAACCAAGCTGCTTACCTATTGCAGATTCAGTCTTCCCAGCCTGGTGCAGGTCTACAATTTTGTTTCTGGTGTCCTTTGACAGCTCTTTGGTCTTGTTTGAGGTTGTGGACAGGTGTCTTTTATACTGATAACAAGTTCAAACAGGTGCCATTAATGCAGGTAATGAGTGGAGGACAGAGGAGCCTCTTAAAGAAGTTGTTACAGGTCTGTGAGAGCCAGAAATCTTGCTTGTTTGTAGGTGACCAAATACTTATTTTCCACCATAATTTGCAAATAAATTCATAAAAAATCCTACAATGTGATTTTCTGGAGAAAAAAATTCTCAATTTGTCTGTCATGGTTGCCGTGTACCTATGATGAAAATTACAGGCCTCTCTCATCTTTTTAAGTGGGAGAACTTGCACAATTGGTGGCTGACTAAATACTTTTTCCCCCACTGTAGATGGCAGCGCATCACACATTGCGACCAAAACAAAGATGTACACACATGCAAGAGGCATTTCTCACTCGATACAAAACATGGATGTAATATCTTTCTGAATATTCTCTGGTTTTTGGAGAACCACCTGCAACCGGACACTGACATTTTTAAGATACTTTTTTCACAGAATCAAGAACGAAGAAAGTATCGCCAAGAACAGGTAAGTTGAAAAATCTATGGCTTTTGTCTAAGCTAACCTGTAATGGAAACGTATTATTAAGTTATATCGCGCTATCTGGCGTACAAACTGTAGCTTACATTGCAATGAGCTCCAAGCTAAATCTGTTTGCATGGTAGCTAGCTAGACATGCAGTTAGTGTAATAACAGTCAGGTTTTCTTTAAGAAGTACAAAAAGAGACTCATCAACACTTGTTGATGAGTAAATGTCGTAATACAAACATGAAGACGACTGACGTAATGGTCGACAAATGAGGCAAACAATTTATGATAATGTGGTTAGTTGATTGAAAGTAGTGGTGCTCCCAAAACACCCACTAGCTATTAGGGCCGGGACGATACCAGTATCTCGATCTTTTTTCAATGTCAAAAATGAAAATGCAAAGCAAATAACTCTTTGGTCCTTTAAAAACCTGCTGTATGTAAAATAGTGTGCTATAGCTTGGAAAATAAATAAATATGACTCTGGATGACAACATAATGATGTTTGTTTCCAACATTAGGACTGTTTTCCTAAAGAATTTAAATCAGTTTTGTTTCTTGCTACGATACTAACGAGTATCGCTATACTGGTATCGTCCCGGCCCTACTAGCTATGATGCTAGCTGTGGAAAATGCTTGTACAATGTGTAGGAACATTGTGTAGCATAGACCAAGTTGATGCAGTTACTTTTATATTGTCAGAAAAAACCATCACCTCTTACTGATACTTATTTCAGTAGAGTGATCCTGTTGTTACTAGCAAATGCACTGCAACCATTATGGGCAAGTTTCTTGAGAGACTAGCTAGTACACTCGCATACAGGGAGGTAGTTGGAATTATCACAATTATTGTTACGTGAAGCACCTAATTAAGTGGGATGTGCCTTAGGCAAAGCTACATTTGATCCTTCAAGCTTCAGTTTCTGACGTGTGTGTGATTGTCAGATAGGAGAAGATGGAGGGGAAGGAGCCAAAGAAGGAACAGAAGCGGCACCAGCAGAAGCACAGCGGGCCCAAGGCAGAGAGGAAGAAGAGCAGGAAGCAGCTGGGAACCCCAGCCGGAGATGACGAACGCAAGAGGAACCCCAAAGCGTTTGCTGTCCAGTCAGCAGTGCGCATGGCCAAAACCTTCCACAGGTCAGCAGCATTCGTATACATGCCCCTTTATACTACACTACATGAAAAATCATCCCACCATAAACTTTAATGTTTGCGTTTTTAGCATTGATTTAGTTTTGTTTCACAAGGTTTACATAGTATTTTGTTGTGTTTTTTAGTTACTGTGACACTAATCTGTGGTTTTACAAGTTCGTAGAAACAACCTTAGGACTGAATGCTGTTAATGTATCTTGAGTGTTTCAGACAGACAGACATTGAGATTTAGAAAAGCAGTGTAGAGGAGGCAGCATAACAAGTGCAGACATACACAGTTCAACATTGTAGGAAGCTATAAACACTGTTCTTTCCCCTTCTCCCAGAGCCCAGGACCTAAAGGCCAAGAAACATCACATACCCCTGGTGGACCGCACCCCTCTGGAGCCTCCCCCGATAGTGGTGGTGGTGGTAGGACCCCCCAAGGTGGGCAAGAGCACCCTCATCCGCTGCCTGATCAAAAACTTCACGCGGCAGAAACTAGGGGACATTTGCGGGCCTGTGACCATAGTCTCTGGTGAGTTGAGCTTGGGTCGTATTCATTAGCGCACACCATAGCAAAGCATTTTGCAACAGAAAGCACTTCTTCTTGGACAAGTTAAGGTAGTCCCTCCCCGTTTTGTCACGTTTGCTTCTGTTTAGTTCCTAGTGAATACCACCCTGCATGACCACAGGGCTGTAATTTAATGTGTTGTTTTCCTTGTGTGCTAATGCCGCCCCATCACAATCTTAATTTCTTAATTTTCCTTTCAGGAAAGAAGAGGCGTCTTACCTTTGTCGAGTGTAGCAATGACATCAATACAATGATTGACTTGGCAAAGGTTGCTGACCTGGTAAGTTAAAGCCAAAATGTCTGAATTTTAAAGTAATAAAAACTAGATAGAAATGTACTTACATTTTAGTCATTTAGCAGACGCTCTTATCCAGAGTGACTTACAGTTTAGTGAGTGCATACATTTTTCATACTGGCCCCCTGTGGGAAACGAACCCACAACCCTGACGTTGCAAGCGCCATGCTCTACCAACTGAGCTACAGGAGGCCCACATAAACTTTTTTTTTATTTTTATTTTTATTTTTTTACTTCTTATGATATTGGAGTAATGTCTGTTTTGATGCCTTATTGTTGACTTTTTAGTATATTTTATCACACTACAAAAATGCAGTGTTGGCATAAACACTATGGATGTGTCCCAAATGACATCCTATTCCCTATGTAGTACATTACTTTTGACCAGGGCCCATAGGGCTCTGGTCAAAAGTAGTGCCATATATAGCGAGTAGGGTGACATTTGAGATGCACATATCTGTGACAATTGAATTGAATCCAGATTTCCCTACCAGACAATAAAAATAGACCTGACTTGATGGTCCTCTGTAGCTCAGCTGGTAGAGCACGGCGCTTGTAACGCCAAGGTAGTGGGTTCGATCCCCGGGACCACCCATACACAAAAATGTATGCACGCACGACTGTAAGTCGCTTTGGATAAAAGCGTCTGCTAAATGGCTTATTATAATATTATTATATCAGTGAGATAAAGACTGACATCCCTGTGGTCCACCAGGTGCTGATGCTCATTGACGCCAGCTTCGGCTTTGAGATGGAGACCTTTGAGTTTCTCAACATCTGCCAGGTGCACGGCTTCCCGCGCATCATGGGCGTGCTCACCCACCTGGACTCGTTCCGCAATAACAAGGCCCTGCGCAAGACCAAGAAGCGGCTCAAACACCGCTTCTGGACCGAGGTCTACCAGGTAAGCACCGAATTAGAATGAGAGACTTTCTCTTTGGCTTCACACCATAAATAGTATTAGCAATTGTGTGTGTGTATATAAGGGTGAGTGAGTCAGTGCAAATAGTCTCTTAAAATGCAGCTGTGAAAAGAGTCAGTGCAAATATTTTCTTAAGGTGCAGGTGAGTACAGGTAGACGGGTCTGTGCAGGTGGACAGCTTAGGGTTAGCTGCTCAACAGTCTTATGGACTGGAGGTAGAAGCTGTCTCGGAACCTGTTCGTCCGAGACCTGATGCTCAGGTACCGCCTGCCGGACGGTAGCAGAGAGAGCAGTCCATGGCTGGTGTGGCTGGAATCCTTGGCGATCTTCCGGGCTTCCTCAGAGACCGCCTGGTGTAGATGTCCTTCTACCTGCATGACTGGGCAGTCTTCACCACCCTCTGTAGAGTCTTGCGGTTCAGGCCTGGTAGTTGCCGTACCAGGCGGTGATGCAGCCAGACAGAATGCTCTCAATGGTGCACCTGTAAAGGTCCCTGAGGATCTGAGGGGCCATGCCAAACCTCTTCAGCAGTCCTGTATTCTACGATCACCTCCTTGGTTTTGCTGAGGTTGAGGGAGAGATTATTGTCCTGGCACAACTCTGCCAGGGCTCTAACCTCCTCCCTGTAGGCTTTCTCGTCGTTGTCGGTGATCAGGCCTATCACCGTCGCGTCGTCAGCAAACTTGATGATGGAGTTGGTTTGACAGTTTTTTGTTTTTTTTTGCAAAGTGTTTTTATTTGTTTTCACAAAGATATTCAAACTGTACAAAGCATGGATAATACCAAAAGTAACAACAACTGAACACCATACTGTAACTACCCATATACGATCTATAGCTAGCACATTTCATATTTCATTGTCTTATTCTTTCTTGGCAAGAGCTGAGATATTTCTGATGTGCTAGATAAACCTTGGAGGTAAATTAGCAGAGTTGGCCAGTCTGTGCCAACCCTGCACATCCCCTTCATACATCCTGAAACTCAGCGTTTTTCTCTTGTGCTATGGAAGTGACAAGTTGACTTGTGATTTTCTTAGGTTTGTCTTGAGAAGACGTTTAACGTGTACACAATCTGTCAGAGCTTGCATGTTGTGAATGTGTACAATATAGTTATAAAGGTCATCACAATCTCATCAACATGGCATACGGTGTTTCTCTGAACCTAATCCACCACAAGTCCCTTTCCTGAAGAGTGTTCCACATTCCCTCTTTGTTTCCCCCAGGGTGCCAAACTCTTCTACCTGTCCGGTATGGTGTACGGAGAGTACCAGATCCAGGAGGTCAAGAACCTGGGCCGCTTCATCTCGGTCATGAAGTTCCGCCCGCTGGTGTGGCAGCAATCTCATCCCTACGTCGTGGCCGACCGGTGAGTGTCCAGACCTCTTAGAGCGATGTGTTTGTAATGGAACGTACAATATGTAGCCAGGACTGATTCAGCGTAGGGAAAGTGACTACCAGGGAGAAGCAGTACCCCGACCTCGATGCTCGGCTTTGAGTGCCCAGACTATTGTATTCTTACCTGTCTGGCTTTTGGGCAAATGATGTGTTCTGTATGTTGCTATGCTTGTTCTGTGAATGCTATGATGCAGTTGAATGGTGGCATGTATGGTTATTGTGTGTGTAATTGTGCACACTTGCATGCCTGCGAGCAATGGATCCCAGCACCCTGCTTGCATTTTCACTCCCTGTTAATTAGTTTTTTGTTTAACTGATCCCCTTCACTGTTCCTCAATCACACTCGCCATCTACACAGCATGGAGGATTTGACGGACCCCGAGATGGTGAGGGTGGACCCCAAGTGTGATCGTACTGTATCTCTCTATGGCTACCTGAGGGGGACATACTTGAAGAATAAAGGCCAGGTCCATATCCCTGGTAAGTACGCTCATTGGGTTAAGAGTAAATAAGAATCTGAGCCCTTTTGAGGAACATTGACTTCTAGAGAAGAGATTAATTGAATACTGTATCAGTACTCGCAAAGCTAGTACATATTGACTTGCACTATTCACATTCACCAATTCATTTAGCAAATAAACATAGCATGTGGTTACTGCAGTGGTGTATTTGGGCAATGTTTCACTCCTACACACCTCTGAACAGAGATTTTATCTCAATTGTACAAAGGTGGGGTTTTGAAAACATTGATTCGGAAAGCTGTATTGTCCTAACATTGGGCAATTTGGTTTGAAACCAAACACATGGTGGCACCCTCTGCAGGTGTGGGGGACTTTGCGGTGGCAGACGTCAGCTTCCTGCCAGACCCCTGCGGTCTGCCTGAGGCGCAGAAGAAGAGGGCGCTGAACGAGAAGGAGCGGCTGCTCTACGCTCCCATGGCGGGGGTCGGGGGGGTCGTGTACGATAAGGACGCAGTCTACATCGACCTGCCTGGCGGCCACGTCAATCAGGAACAGGTCAGTTCCATCCCCTGGGCCATGTTCAGTAAGACACAGAAAAGGAAAATGCTTTGAAACATTTAACAAAACAAAAAAAAACTATGTATTTTTACTGGTCAAAGTCAGGTAGTTCAATACATATGATGGATGTGATATGGAAGAGCTCCTGAATGTAATTGACTCCTGTTATATACAATGGCTTGAGACTGTTGTGAATGAGTACACTAAACCGAAAGTGTCATGGGCCGTTGTAAATTCCCTCTCCCCTGAACCTAGATCATGTGCAGATGATCTAGATAATGTGTGTGCACACGCTCCTATAATCAGTTATTTCTGTTCCGTGTCCACCAGGAGGAGGTCCGTCCCACCACAGAGTTGGTCCAATCCCTCATCGGTACACACACCACCCTGGATGCCAAGATGGCCGCCAGCAAAGTGTCACTGTTCACAGGGGCGGCTGCCCTGACCCCCGGGGAAGTGGAGGAGGAGGAGGAGGAGAACGGGTGAGTGCACAGTGACGCTCGCACAATGTCTTGGAAATCTCAAATGATACGCTATTCCCATATATTGTGTACTACTTTTGTGGCCACTATGGAATCATTTGAGACACAGCCCTAAAATCATTGTTAAAATCTGTTATAAACGTATTGTTAAAAGAGAACCTCATCGTCATTTTAATCTCATGGACTGTCAGTCCTTGTAATTTGAGAGTCGCTACATTTCTCCAGTCCTATTCCTTAGCTTTATAGCAAACCAAGTGGCTGCCGTTTTGTTCTTTTACTAAATAGAAAGTGGGCCGTTAAATACAGGCATATAGAAAATTATATCAATTTTTGCCTCTGACTTGTGTTGGTCTCCATCTTGTCTCACAGGCTGACGTCAGGACCACAGGAGAGCCGAGTCTGGGACCCTGAGACACAGAGAGAGCGGAGGAAGGCTGTCTTCACTGAAGAGGAAGATGATGATGATGATGACAGCGAGGGTAGCAGTGAAGAAGAGGGGGATGAGGAAGGAGAGTCTGAAGAAGAGGATGAGGAAGATAATGAGGGGGGAAACAAAAGAGAAGAAGAAGAAACAGTTTTGAAGAAAGAGGCAAAGGACAACACTGAACCAAAAGAGAATCAAGGAATAAAGACCGCCCCTCCGGTGAAGAGACAGAAGATGGAGGAAAGGAAAGCAGAGAAAGAGCCAGTGGTGGAGGTACCTGCCTTTGCAGACAGTGAGGATGAGCTGGAAATGAGTGAGGAGGAGGGAGAAGGGGTGAAGGGAGAGCAGGAGAGTGAAGGAGAGGAGAGTGATTCTGAGGGGGAAGAAGATGAAGACGGTGATGTCAAACCAAGAGACTCTGGTCATTGCTCGGAGGAAGAGGAGGATGCGAGTGATTCAATGGAAGAGGATGACTGTGAAACCAAGGTCTTGGGCAAAGAAAGCAAGAAGTCGAATGCCACCTCCAAAATGGAAGATGAGGAGATGGAGGGAGGAGAGCTGTGCTATGAAAGTGCAGGTAATATTCGGTCTATTCAGCGTAGTTCCATTGTGGCCCCTCCCCCTTGTCTATACTACATCTTCAGTGTCCACAGAATTTTGTTCAAGCCCATCATTTACAAACCTAATTCCAATAATGCTGCTCTGAATTGAAGACCAAGTTGAGTACTTTAATCAGGTGTGTTAGTGGCAGGCTGGAACAAAAACCTGCACTCTCTGGTGTAAGCAATATTGTAATGGATCCACCTCACCTGTACAGTTGGCTGTTGAATTCTAAAACAACCTAGCCCTTACTCTCTAGGCACTCCTGTAGATCTGACAGGACTGGATCGGTTTCTTGCCTTGTGATAGGATAATCTAATGACCTATCCAATCGTATCAGATTTACAGGAGTGCCTAGAGGCTAAGGGATGATTTGGAATTCAGAATGCATGCTTCTTGTCTGCCATATTGCTTTCACCTTGTGAATACTGATGGGGAGGGGAAGTAGCCAAATGGAACAAGAACTGAAGTCAATAATTAATTTCACCCTAACCCACCAAATGTTTCTCAGGGGCACTGCGGTGGAAGGAGGGTCTGCAACAGAAAGCGTCGGAGGCGTTTCTACGGCAACAGCGCGCCGCCCCCAATCTACGTAAACTGGTGTACGGCACAGGTAACGTCTCCTCCTGGGTTTCAGTAACAAGATTAGTTTGTTTTGTTCTTAGAATGTTTTTTTGCCTCTTTTTTTTTTAACTGACATTTTCCCTTTTATCCTAATGTCATGGCGGATCTTGTTTGTTGAGCACTAGAGTGTATTCATTAATGCACACTGTAGCAAAATGTTTTGCAATGAAAATGAGCATTTCTTATTGGACAAGTTCAGGTCCTCCCTATTTCGGCCCATTTGCTTCCGTTTGTGCCTGGCCTTGATTTCTGACTGACTACGTTTATTTCCTTCAGTGGCGGAGGTTGATGGTGATGGGGAGGAGGATGAGGAGGAGCTGGGAGGGCTATTTCGAGTCAGCCGCCCCGAGAAGGGCAAGAAGCATCGTGCGGACGGCGTGGACTGCTCCCGTTTTGACCCTGATGCCGCTCACAACTGGGACCTGGAAGAGGTAAAAGGGGAAATCTACAAAACCATATCGTAGCGCCTCTTTCCTTTGTCCCATCTCTTTTACTACAGGGTTTATCTTCCTCTGGGACCCCAAGGGTTGCACATTTTTGTTTTAACCCAGCACTAGCACACCTGATTTGGCACTGGACATTTAAAGTGTGGAAAGACCAACAGTTTGAAGAAAGGCATTAAGTAGAAGGAGCTATGGATGGAGGCATCCATACATTCATATTCTGACCTGGGTTGGGGTCAATACAATGATTTATATTCCATCAACTCAAGAGATAAATTACATTTATTGAATATTTTTTGTAATTGACATAAATATTGTGTCCTCAGATGCTGGACTCGATACGGGACTGTTTTGTGACAGGGAAATGGGAGGACGATCAAGATGCTGCTACATTGCTGAAGGAGGATGGTAAGGATTTGCAGCCCATTGCTCAATGTTTGGATTGTTTTCATGACTTTCTTGGTCTTGTCCTTAAAAGTGCTTTATAACTGCAATCTGTCCCATTTTAAATGCAATCTGTAAAGGTTGACTCCTGTGTGCACATCAAATATGGTAAACAGAGAGCAATTGAAATTCATTTTCCCCAATTCAAATTATTTTCATGTGCTCCGGATATGGACTCATTGTCCCAACAGAGTAGTCCCAATCCATCAGGGCTATGTACTGTATATCAGAAGTCCACTGTTCATTATCACCCGCTTGCTAACTCGCTCTTCGTCTCTTTTTAGAGGAGCTATATGGCGATTTTGAGGACTTGGAGACGGGGGAAGTGCACAAGGGGAAAGCTGGCAAGCAGAAGGACCAAGCCAAGGAAGAAAGTGATGATGATAAGGAAGATGAGGAGGAGGAGAAGCCGATGACGGTGGACGACGAGACCCAGAAGAACAAGCGTCTGGAGAAGAAACGGCGGCTGAAGGAGCGCTTCGACACGGAGTACGACGACGGAGACGCCACCTACTTTGATGACCTCAAGGAGGAGATGCAGAAACAGGCAGAGGTGAGGGGTCATAGGTAAATGTTTGATATGACAGGAGGCAGAAGTCTCTGGCCCTGATAGAATACTTCAGAAATGCCTCCTTTTTCCTTCCTTGATGTAATCACAGATTTTTTAAAAAAAAGCGTATATTTGGGGTGGGTAACCTTACTTGCACCTACCCAACCACTAGATATGTGCTTACATCGAAGAAACAAGGAAGGATGCATTTGGAAATTATTCAAACGGGGTCAAGGTAACATCTTATTATGCCCGAAAGGAAACCAACGTTGTTAGTGGCATTCCGATCAGACATTGAGTCGTGTTCATCAGGCACAATGAGGGAAAATCAGTCTTGAAACGCAAAACAAAATTGTACATGCTCTTCTTTTAAATCAACTTACAGAATTGTCAACCTTGGCATTGACACTATATTCAGTATGTGGCCCATGTGGGATTCAAACCAACAACCCTGGTGTTGACAACACCCTGTTCTAACCCACTGAGCCTTTCATTTCACCACAATCTCTAAACCTTTCTCCTCTTCCTAGCTGAACCGGGCTGAGTTTGAGGACGTGGATGACGAGACACGGGTCCAGTACGAGGGCTTCCGGCCTGGCATGTATGTGCGTCTGGAGATCCCCTCCCTGCCCTGCGAGTTTGTCACCAACTTTGATCCCCACTATCCCATCATCCTCGGGGCTCTAGGCGCCAGCGAGGGCAACGTAGGTTACCTGCAGGTGAGTGACGGGTTAACGAGTCAGGCTCAGTTCCATTTCAATTGAAGAAGTGAAATAGAGTGAATTGGACTTCCAGTTCAAGAACTTAACTCCTTGGCTGTGTCTGAAATGGCATCCTATTAAATACAGGGAAGTCCCATTGTGACCAATGTCTCTTTTGCAAGTAGCCCTGATTCACAAAAATGAAGCAAAATAAGGAATTACTGACACAATTATAACAATCAAAGGCGGGAGCATGAAACATACAAAAATACAATTATGGAAAAACACGTGCATTCCTCTGTAAACGGGTCATGTACCAATACCCTAAAATGTCCGAAAGGCAATGGTGCGTCCAATTGTAGGGTATTCTGAAATTTGTGGCATGTAAAACCTAAAGGCTATTTTACCTAAATCACTAATGACAACAGGAATTTCAAGATTTAGCCATTCCTGTGAGCGAGTAAGGTATTTTGTACTTCTGTAGGTCAGGAGCAATGTAGTATGGTAGTTTCTGCCCGAGAGCTTTATAAATGAACAGAAGGCAATGTTGTGTTCTCTGCGTTGCCAATGATGGCCAGCCCACTTTCTGATACAGATCACAGTGATGGAATGTCAACTGAACGATTTATTCTATCAAGCGAAAGGCACAATCTATTTCTGTAGAAGAAGCCCAGTTTAATTCTGTGTCTTTGTTAGCTCACCTACATGTTTTAAATGACAACTTGTCATCGATCCAAATGCCAAGGTATTTATATGAGAGGACTTGCTCAATTTGGGCTCCATTCAATGTGCAGACATGGAAGTCTGTGGAGTCAATGTTGTGGGCTCTAGAGAACAGCATATACTTTGTTTTATCTGCATTCAGTACCAGATTAAGGTCAAGTGCTTTTTGTATGACATTTAATGCAGTCTGTAGATCAGCTACAGTGGGGGAAAAAAAGTATTTAGTCAGCAAGTTCTCCCACTTAAAAAGATGAGAGGCCTGTAATTTTCATCATAGGTACACGTCAACTATGACAGACAAATTGAGAATCACATTGTAGGATTTTTAATGAATTTATTTGCAAATTATGGTGGAAAATAAGTATTTGGTCACCTACAAACAAGCAAGATTTCTGGCTCTCACAGACCTGTAACTTCTTCTTTAAGAGGCTCCTCTGTCCTCCACTCGTTACCTGTATTAATGGCACCTGTTTGAACTTGTTATCAGTATAAAAGACACCTGTCCACAACCTCAAACAGTCACACTCCAAACTCCACTATGGCCAAGACCAAAGAGCTGTCAAAGGACACCAGAAACAAAATTGTAGACCTGCACCAGGTGGGAAGACTGAATCTGCAATAGAGAGCTTGGTTTGAAGAAATCAACTGTGGGAGCAATTATTGGAAGGAAGACATCAGACCCTGATAACTCCCCGTCTGGGGCTCACCAGATCACCGGGCAAATGATCACAGAACGGTGAAAATCCCAAACCCGATCCAGAACCACACGGGACCTAGAAGACCTGCAGAGAACTGGGCCAAAGAACAAAGCCCACCATCAGTAACCACACTACGCCGCCAGTGGCTACATGCGCTTCGCTTTCATCTCAAAACAAGCGCATCTACTCGAGACCGCTCATACTGTAGCCTAAACAGTCCAGTTCAAAGTGAATGGCACAGATCCATATGGCATTGGCTATTTGCATATAGGCCTATTGCATCTCTGATTGGTTATGGCGCACCGGTCTGTGTAGAATACTGCGGAGTCATGCCTGTCAATGCAATAGAATCCTACTCCAATGCGCTCTGCCTGCAAGAAAATCTCTCGCACAGTTAGTTTTGCATACGAAATCTTGCATAGTTCGTTTTGTTTCGGTATATTACATTGAAAGTGGCTAATATTGCGTTGACACGATCACAATTGCCACAGTAGAGTGAAACGTTGATAGTATTAACTAAAGGGGAAAGTTGAGTGACGTTCAATCTCAGGCTTCTCTGCACGGGCTCATATTTCTTCTGCACGGCTGCGCACCCGCGCACACACACAGCTTAGAGGGAACATTGGATGCAAGGTATTGTCTCCAGTGGGGTGCTTCATATATGTGACATGCCAGGAGTGTTACCACTCAACCACGGCTCTGCGCGTAAACACAGATCTGAATTGGTTGCATTGGTGAGTGATAGGGTGGTAACCTTACTTGCACCTACCCAACCACTAGATCTGTGCTTACATCGAAGAAACAAGGAAGGATGCATTTGGAAATGATTCAAACGGGGTCAAGGTAACATCTTATTATGCCCGAAAGGAAACCAGCGTTGTCAGTGGCATTCTGATCAGACATTGAGTCGTGTTCATCAGGCACAATGAGGGGAAAATCGGTCTTGAAACGCAAAACAAAATTGTGCATGCTCTTTTTTTAAATCAACTTACAGAACTGTCAACCTTGGCACTGACACAAAGTATATTTAGTATGTGGCCCATGCGGGATTCAAACCAACAACCCTGGTGTTGACAACACCCTGTTCTAACCCACTGAGCCTTTCATTTCACCACAATCTCTAAACCTTTCTCCTCTTCCTAGCTGAACCGGGCTGAGTTTGAGGACGTGGATGACGAGACACGGGTCCAGTACGAGGGCTTCCGGCCTGGCATGTATGTGCGTCTGGAGATCCCCTCCCTGCCCTGCGAGTTTGTCACCAACTTTGATCCCCACTATCCCATCATCCTCGGGGCTCTAGGCGCAAGCGAGGGCAACGTAGGCTACCTGCAGGTGAGTGACGGGTTAACGAGTCAGGCTCAGTTCCATTTCAATTGAAGAAGTGAAATAGAGTGAATTGGACTTCCAGTTCAAGAACTTAACTCCTTGGCTGTGTCTTTAATGGCATCCTATTAAATACAGGGAAGTCCCATTGTGACCAATGTCTCTTTTGCAAGTAGCCCTGATTCACAAAAATGAAGCAAAATAAGGAATTACTGACACAATTATAACAATCAAAGGCAGGAGCATGAAACATACAAAAATACAATTATGGAAAAACACGTGCATTCCTCTGTAAACAGGTCATGTACCAATACCCTGAAATGTCCGAAAGGCAATTGTGCGTCCAATTGTAGGGTATTCTGAAATTTGTGGCATGTAAAACCTAAAGGCTGTTTTACCTAAATCACTAATGACAACAAGAATTTCAAGATTTAGCCATTCCTGTGAGCGAGTAAGGTATTTTGTACTTCTGTAGGTCAGGAGCAATGTAGTATGGTAGTTTCTGCACGAGAGCTTTATAAAAGAACAGAAGGCAATGTTGTGTTCTCTGCGTTGCCAATGATGGTCAGCCCACTTTCTGATACAGATCACAGTGATGGAATGTCAACTGAACGATTTATTCTATCAAGCGAAAGGCACAATCTATTTCTGTAGAAGAAGCCCAGTTTTAATTCTGTTTCTTCGTTAGCTCATCTACATGTTTTAAATGACAACTTGTCATCGATCCAAATGCCAAGGGATTTATATGAGAGGACTTGCTCAATTTGGGCTCCATTCAACGTGCAGATATGGAAGTCTGTGGAGTCAATGTTGTGGGCTCTAGAGAACAGCATATACTTTGTTTTATCCGCATTCAGTACCAGTTTAAGGTCAAGTGCTTTTTGTATGCCATTTAATGCAGTCTGTAGATCAGCTATAGCCTGGTTCACAGAGGAGGCAGGAGAGTACAGCACACTGTCATAAGCATAAAAGTGTAGCTTACAGTCTTTCACTAAGGAACCAAAACAGATACATTAGGCTGTCAAATGAGTCAGAAAATCACAGGTTTCAGATTTTTTTCAGGTTTTCGCTTTCACACTTTCTTTTAAATTGAACATCCAATTTTGTTGTTTTTCCACATCAGGAGACCACTTTTGAGGTCTGTGAAAAATCGAAGAAATATATACATTTGAGTGTAGTTACCCTTTTAATTAAACCGCAGGCACCTAGCACTGTTTGGTTAGCTGTTTTTCTGTAGTGAACATGAGATGGAGTTTGCAAAACAAATGGCCACTGGATTGATATCATGATATCATTCTGCCAGGTAGGCATAGGCTACTTTGTAGCTAGTTAACATTTAATTGAGAAGGTTTTTTGGGAAAACCTTTCGATCTACCAGAAGAATGTTAGGCCTATCATTAGCATCGCTATATTTTTCCTGTTCCTTAATTGTTTGAAACCTGGACGTTTTACTTCATACCTTGGTTCAAAGTAGCCTATAGCCAAAATCCCACCATAGAAACGGGAAGGCAATTATTTTTTGAAGACTTCACTCTCCTGTAGTATTGGTTTTCAAATCAACTTTCTTTCATTGTTTAGCAGCCAAAGGCATTATACTAGTCAAATTAGCTACCCCTGATAGTTGTTGCATCTTTAGATCTCCCCTCCTTCTTAATTTCTCATCCCATCTGGTAGTGCCTGTCTTGACTACATCAAATCGATGTAAAGAAGCTAGCTAAGAGAGCCAGCCAGCTAGCTACGTGAAAGTAAGAGAGAGAGTAAACATTATTGTTTCTAGTTGAGGTTAGATACAAGTGAAGTGTCCTGGCTTCCCATCAGTTCAAAAGATTGACAAGTGACTGAAGAGACCGCCTGAGAGATGTGTGGGAGAGCCGCACTGATCAGCTCAGTCAGATCGCGCAACTGAAAGATGTAATCTCATGTGGAATTCTCGTCTCGTCACATTTTTGTCAACTAAAATGAAAAGTAATTTTTTAATAGTTAGTTTTTTTCCAGGGCATCTTGTCTCGTTATTTTCATAGTTTTAGTCAGGACAAATAGGTTGTTGACGACAAGTATTTTTCATCAGAGTTATTGTTGACAATTAACACTGCTACTGTCTGCGCATAAGGTAGAGCTAAATTCTCAGAGGTGGCCAGCGTGAATTTCTATTTTGTCAGTAATGGGGCCAGAAACTGACATGATTTGTTAGGGCAGCGCTACAGTGCCTTCAAAGTATTCATACCCCTTGACTTATTCCATATTTTGTGTTACAGCCTGAATTCAAAATGGATTAAATTGTTTTTTTTTCCTCACCCATCTACACACAATACCCCATTATGACTGAGTGAAAACATGTTTTTAGAAATGCAAATGTGTTGAAAATTAAAAACATCTAATTTACATAAGTATTCGCACCCCTGAGTCAATACTTTGTAGAATCAACTTTGGCGGCGATTACAGCTTTGAGTCGTCTTGGGTATGTCTGTATTAGCTTTGCACATTTGGATTTGGGGATTTTCTCCCATTATTCCTTGCAGATTTTCTCAAGCTTTGTTAAGTTAGATGAGGAGCACCGGTGAATAGCAATCTTCAAGTCTTTCCACAGATTTTCAATGGGATTCAGGTCTGGGCTTTGGCTGGGCCACTCAAGGACTTGGACTTTCACATTCTTGTTCTGAAGCCATTCCAGCATTGCTTTGGCTGTATGCTTGGGGTCATTGTCCTGTTGGAATGTAAATCTTTGCCCCAGTTGAAGGTCATTTGCACTCTGAACCAGGTTCTCATTAAGGATTTGCCTGTATTTGGCTCCATTCATTGTTCCCTTACTTGTCTCCCAGTCCCTGCAGCTGAAAAGCATCCTCATAGCATGATGCAACCACCACCATTCTTCACGTAAGGGATGGTGTTAGATGGGTCGTGAGCTGTGCCTGGTTTTCTCCAGACATAGCGCTTTGCATTGAGGCCAAAGAGTTACATTTCTCATCAGACCACAGAATATTTTGCCTTATGATCTGTCTTTCAAGTGCCTTTTTGCAAACTCCAGGCATGCTGTCATGTGCCTTTTCTCACTCTCTTATAAAGCCCAGATTAGTGAAGTGCTGTAGAGACTGTTGTTCTCTGATCTCAGCCAAGGAACTCTGTAGTGGAATTCCTACAGAGTGGTCATTAGGTTCTTGGTCACCACCCTGACAAAGGTCCTTCTTGCCTGGTTGCTCAGTTTGGTCGGACGGCCAGCTCTAGGCAGAGTCTGGGTAGTTCCATATGTTATTGTGCAACGCATCCCAGTGTTGATTTATTTGAACGTTAACGTTTTATTCATTTTTTTTTACTTGCATCTGTCCCTAATAAATTAAGATCTAAACAAATGGCATTAAACTATTGCTCAAAACAGTGTCAGTGAGACTAATTGATAATGATAAGTGTAATTTGTTTAGAACTTTTCCAGGTGACTCAAGGTGATGTTTCTCTTGTCCCAGATGCGGTTAAAGAAACATCGATGGCACAACCGGATCCTGAAGACGCGCGACCCCCTCATCCTGTCCCTGGGCTGGCGTCGCTTCCAGACCATCCCCCTGTACCACATCGAGGACCACAACGGGCGCCACCGCCTGCTCAAGTACACACCGCAACACATGCACTGTGGCGCCACCATCTGGGGTGAGAGCAGTAATGCGCTGTAGTTTTAGTATTTATTTTATTCAGGTGGCACCTTTTTTCCTCCATTGCAACTATTCATCAGAGGGCACTATCACGTAGCAGGATCGCTAAGTTAACCAGCTAAATTTGATGCAAATTCAGATATAGCTCTTGATTATCTGGTTCCTTGAAGAAGCTAAATTGTAAAATATGTTGAGGGCGTCGAGCCGGTTATACCATGCTAATATAACTACATATCTCTTAAGTCGGAAATATTACATTATTTCAGTAAACTAGCTAAATTGTCTTGCTTTGTGACATGCCCCCCTGGTCAGAATTACATGGATCCTCAATCAACTTACCTGTTTGAATATAGGTAAAATAATGAATAAATGTGAACCCTGTCCTTCTCTGCTGTGTTCCCAGGTCCCATCACACCTCAGGGCACAGGCTTCCTGGCTGTGCAGTCAGTCGCAGGAACTAAGGTAAGAACCACAGAAGCAGGCCACAAAGGAAATAATTACATTTAATCCTTTACACTTGTGGGAATTGGGCTATATGTATAGGGCTAAATTGAAATATTTTTTACAGAAGAAATATGAGATGCATAACCATGGTAGAAATTGAAAGGGAACAGTTTGGAGATTATGTGGAAATTATTAGACCGAAGGTGAGGACACAACAGTTACCTGACACAAGACTGAATCCAAACATTACATTGTTGATGTTATGTGCATTTTACATTTTCTGTACTTTTCGGCATTTGTTGATAACGAAATCTGAAAATACTCTATATATAAATATATTCAGTAACATAATAAGAATATTCATGGCAATTTGGGTTAGCAGCCACATACAGTGAATTTGGAAAGTATTCAGAGTTTTGAATACTTTTACTAGAGTTGAATCAAGATTTGCTTTATTGAATTTCAATAAAAGGAAGCTGGTCTGCAGAGTAGCCTCCTCTCTCCCTCTCTCTCTCTCCATCTTATATAGTGCCCTCCACACACCCAAGCTTTAAAATCCCTGCCTCTTCAGTTTCCTGCTCTTTTATTGCTCCGCCCACTCCCTTTGTCTATAGTGGCGGCTAAATTCGACTTTCATTCAGTTCAGAATCAATAGTAATACTCAATCAATCCCTTATCTTGCAAAAACACTTGTTTAGTTTAAACTCTGTTCAACCCTGGCGCCGCTCTTTATCACTTTGTTTGAGGAGAGAGACAAAAGGCCACAGGATTAAGTTCTTGCCTAGCCACATGATTATGATTATCTCATAGTCCACTAAAAAATCTCCAACACCATCTCCACAGAGGAACTCTGGAGCTCTGTCAGAGTAACCATCGGGTTCTTGGTCACCTCCCTGACCAAGGCCCTTCTCCCCCGATTGCTCAGTTTGTCCGGGCGGCCAGCTTTAGGAATCTTGGTGGTTGCAAACTTCTTCCATTTTAAGAATGATGGAGGTCACTGTGTTCTTGGGGACCTTCAATGCTGCAGACATTTTTTGGTACCCTTCCCCAGATCTGTGCCTCGACACAGTCCTGTCTCGGAGCTCTACGGACAATTCCTTCGACCTCATGGCTTGGTTTTTGCTTTGAGTGTGTGCCTTTCCAAATCATGTCTAATCAATTGAATTTACCACAGCTGGACTCCAATCAAATTGTAGAAATATCAAGGATGAACAATGGAAACAGGATGCACCTGAGCTCAATTTCGAGTCTCATAGCAAACGGTCTGAATATTTATGTAAATAAGGTATTTCTGTTTTTTATTTTTTATAAATTTGCAAACATTTTTAAAAACCTGTTTTCGCTTTGTCATTATGGGGTATTGTGTGTAGATTGATGAGAAATGTTTTCTTTAATGAATTTTAGACGAAGGCTGTAACGTAACAAAATGTGGAAAAAGTCAAGGGGTCTGAATATTTTCTGAATGCACTGTAAGTCAAAACAATGATGAGGGTTTGAGTGAGAGGTCTAACTGGTGTCTCGAAGTTGCTACGCAGCTCTCCAAAGTAATTTCAATGCACTTTTATGACTCAAGGAAGAGCCGTAAACTATTAGGTGCTTTTTTGAGCTCTCCTAGCTGTGCCGTTGAGGAAATGAATCAAGCACACTTGTAGTTTTTTGTTTGGAACACAGCCCTGCATCCCCACCATCACACAATTACTGTTTACACAATCCAAAAACGGTCCATTATAAATCCCAATCTGGGTCAGGTGGGCATCATTTGAAAGCTTATTCTATTGCCAACATGACTAGCTAAGATACGATCTCAGTGTTAGGCTTTCACAAGGCACTTCAGGAAAAACAGTCATTTTGGTGCGCATATAATGGAGTCTTGAGTGCATTTGGGTGTGTGCTCCATGGCAAATTGTCTTCATAATACGACAAACAGGCTCATTCTGTTCCAAACAACTCACGGTATGATGCCTTGTCATCCTTGTAACTGTACATCAAACATGGCGATCATTAACGTTGATAATGTAAATTACATGAGTTTTATAATATCGGAATGTGAAGTGCACATTTGGACTCACAGGTGTGAGATTGGCTTGTATGACATCAGGGACATCAGTGCAGTATTTATTATAATCCTCAGTAATCTTTTAGAACAGATCGAGTCCTCTTGATTTACAGCATCTTCCTCACTCAAACATTTATTTTGGTGTGCAAAAGTAGCCCAGTTAGCTGCAGGGATGGGGGCATCTTTTTGTTTCAGGTGGTGCGCAAGTTTAGAACATCTGTCAGTTGAATCCCATACAGCGCTTTAAAGCATAGACCCTGAACTCTGACGTCATGTACAGCATGTTACTGTATAGCCACTGCGTTCCAATGTAAGAAGTTATCGGTGTCCAGATCTAACATTTACAACCCGTATACGGGCTGGAGTGTAGAGGGTTAACATCCCTGACTTGGATGCACAACAGCAGCCAACCCCGAGGCTACGGCTGAGGACACAAACGCGTACAAGAAGTCCTGCTACGACCTCCGCAGAGCCATCAACGAGGCAAAAGGACAATATTGGAACAAGGTGGAATCCTATTATACCAGCTCCAACACGTGACAGTGGCTACAGTACATAACGGAATACAAAGGAAGCCGTGATCTGCCCAATGATGCCTCGCTACAAGACAAACTCAATGCCTTTTTTATGCAGGCTTCAACAAAAACAACACAGAGCCCTGCATGAGGGACCACACTAATCCAGAGGACTGGGTGATCTCTCTCTCTCTCCGAGGCTGACGTAAGGTTTTTAAACGTGTCAACACTCTTAAGGTCGCTGGGCCAGACGGTTTTCCGGTGCGTGTCCTCAAGGCATGCGCAGGCCAGCTGGCAGGTGTCTTCACTGACATTTTCAACCTCTCTTTGGCACAGTCTGTAATCCCCACATGTTTCAAGCTGACTACCATCATACCTGTTTCAAGCTGACTACCGCCCTGTAGAACTCATATCTGTAATAACGAAGTACTTTGAAAGGATGGTCATGGCACACATTAACTCAATCATCCCAGACACCCTGGACCCATTACAATTTGCATAATGCCCACTGACAACGCAATCTCAATTGCACTCCATTTTGCCCTCTCCCACATAGAAAAAAGGAACACATACTATGTGAGGACGCTGTTCGACTACAGTTAAGCGTTCATCACCATAGTACCCTCCAAGCTCGGGACCTTGGAACTGAACACCCACCTCTGCAACTGGATCCTGGACTTCCTGATGGATCCATCCCAGGTGGTAAGAGTAGGCAACAACACCTCCGCCACATTGCCCCCCAGGGGTGTGTGCGCTTAGCTCCCTCCTGTACTCACTGTTCACCCACAACTGTGTGGCCACGCACAACTTCAACTCCATCAAGTTTGCTGACTTGATGGTTGTCGGCCTGATCACCAACGGCGATGAGACTGCCTACAGGGAGGTGGTCAGAGACCTGTCAGTGTGGGACCAGGACAACAACCTCTCCCTCAACGTCAGGAAGACCAAGGAGCTGATTGTGGACTTCAGGAAGGAGGGGTGGGTGTACATCCACATCGACGGGGCCGCAGTACAGCGGGTCAAGAGCTTTAAGTTCCTTGGTGTCCACATCACTGAGGACTTAACTTGGTCCTCTCACACCGGCACAATCGTGAAGAAGGCAGTGCCGCTTCTCCCTCAGGAGGCTGAAATGATTTGGCATAGCCCCTCAGATCCTTAGGAACTTTTACAGCTGCTCCATGGAGAGCATCCTGACTGGTTGTATCACCGTCTGGTATGGCAACTGCACCGCCCTTGACAGGAACAGTCCATGTCTCTCCTGCTGAAAGGTGAATTCGTCGCCCAGTGTCTGGTGGAAAACAGACTGAACAAAGGTGTTCTTGTAGGCTCCATTCAGTTTCTTTTTTTATCCGGAAAAACTCCCCAGTCCTTAACGATGACCCGTTAACATGGCCCGAGACATGGACTGTTCTCCGTGCTCCTGTCCGGCAGACTGTACCGGTGAATCAAGGCTCAGACCAACAGACTCCTAAACAGCTTCTATATCGTGGCCATAAGACTGTTAAATGGCAAACAACTACTGCTTTATTATTACCACTACGCTGCTGTTCATTGATTGCCATTACCTTTTTAGTATCTATCTATTTTATCCTGCTACCGGTCACTATTACTCTTGTTTACATGTATATATTGCCACTAGTATATTACCATATGTATTTATATATTCCTACTACCAGTCACTTTTCAGCCCTGTTTACATGTACAGTGCCTTGAGAAAGAATTCACACCCCTTTACTTTTTTGACATTTTGTTGTTATAGCCTGATTCAATTGAGATTGTTGTTGATCTACACACAATATCCCATAATGTCAAAGTGGAATTTTTGTAGAACATTTTTGAAATTAATAAAAACAATCTAAGCTGAAATGTCTTGAGTCAATAAGTATTCAACCCCTTTGTTATGACAAGCCTAAATAAGTTCAGGAGTAAAAACGTGCTTAACAAATCTCATAAGTCGCATGGACTCATTCTGTGTTCAATAATAATGGTTAACATGATTTTTGAATGACTACCCAATCTCTGTACCCCCACACATACAATTATCTGTAAGGTAGTGAATTTCAAGCACAGATTGAACCACAAAGAACAGGGAGGTTTTTCAATGCCTCGCAAAGAAGGATGGTGATTGGTAGATGTGTAAAAAGCGGATGCTAAATATCCCTTTGAGCAGGGTGAACTTATGAATTATACTTTGGATGGCGTATCAATACACCCAGTCACTACAAAGATACAGGTGTCCTTTCTAACTCAGTTGCAGGAGAGGAAGGAAACTGTTCAGGGATTTCATGAGCCCAATGGGGATTTTAAAAACAGTTAGAGTTTAATGGCTGTGATATGAGAACTGAGGCTGGATCAACATCATTGTAGTTACTTCACATTACTAACCTAATGACAGAGTGAAAATAAAGGAAGCCTGTACATAATTAAAAAAAATCCAAAACATGCCTATTTGCAACCAGGCAGAAAATGTGGCAAAGCCATTAACTTTTTGTCCTAAATAAAACATCACTGAGTACCACTCTTCATATTTTCAAGCATGGTGGTGGCTGCATCATGCTATGGGTATGCTTGTCATCGTTAAGGACTGGGGAGTTTTTCCGGATAAAAAAAGAAGCGATGAATTCACCTTTCAGCAGGACAATAACCTAAAACAAGGTCAAATCTATACTGGAGTTGCTTACCATGAAGACAGTGAATGTTCCTGAGTGGCCGAGTTACATATTTGACTTAAATCTATGGCAAGACCTGAAAAATGGTTGTCTAGCAATGATCAACAACCAATTTGACAGCGATTTGAAGAATTATGAAAAGAATAATGGGCAAATGTTGCACAATCCATGTGTGGAATGCTCTTAGAGACTTACCCCGAACGACTCGCTGTTCTAATTACTGCCGAAGGTGCTAATACAAAGTATTGACTCGGGTGTGAATACTTAACTAAACGAGAGATTTCTGTATTGCATTTTCAATAGATTTGCAGACATTTCTAACAGCGTTTTCACTCATTATGGGGTATTGTGTGTAGATGGGTGAGAAAAAAGTTCGATTTAATCCATTTTGAATACAGGCTTTAACACAACAAAATGTGGGATAAGTCAAGGGGTATGAATACTTTCTGATGACACTGTCTCATTCCGAGACGCTGTGTGCTAATGCCTCAATTGGTTAGCTCCGCTGTCGGTAAATAAAAGGGTGGGCTGTAGGTTGATTCTGCTGTTACGATTGGATAGCGTGCAGCTGTGCTGTAGGTTAATTCTGTGGCTATGTTCGGGTTGTGTGCAGCTGTGTTCCGAATCAATGATTACTTGGGTACTGCTAGCCGCAAATCTCAGTATTGGAAGACTTTATGACAAGTTCTACCACTTACACTTTTTAGTTAATTTTGCAACTAGTACAGTTGTTTACGACTATCATGCACCAGTACTCAGTATGGGTTATTTCTAGTAGCATCTTTGTTTAAGTTGTCCGTTCTCTCTCTTGCAGACCAGTTTCCGCATCGCAGCTACAGGAGTTGTCCTTGACCTGGACAAATCTGTGACCATAGTCAAAAAGCTCAAGCTGATTGGCTACCCATACAAGATCTACAAGAACACATCCTTCATCAAGGTAGGATGCACCTCATAGTATTACTGACATACCAAAGTTCAGCTACGATATGTCTTTTTTGTGGTAGACATTTGAGGCATTTGTTCATCTGTTGTAGAACAGGATAACATAAACATAACAGGATAACATAAAGTCTAACACTTTATGGAAAAACTGTGTGTAAGTTATGCTTTATGAATGTATTCATATATAATTAAGGGTTCACAGCAAAGCTGTGTAACCTATTGTTATTCGCTGAATTCTTTTTTTTCTTTTTTCTTTGACATGGTCAAATAACTCAAGCATAGATTGGTAACTTACTTTCTAATTTGGCACACAGAAACTAGAGGCCATGAGTAACTTGGTCAAAAATAATGCAATTGATTGGCCTATAGGGTGCGCTGTTGTCAGCACTCATTTAAACCCTCATATCCGCCACCATGTTTGACCTAGAGACTTGAAACGGTTGTTGTCTTTCCTCATGTAGGTGTCTATCCTCATGTTGAACAAATTTGCCTCAAGGACCCATAAGGTCCGTCGGGATAGATTTCCCTCCATCTTGGGCATTTTGGAAAAACGTATTTTCATGAAGCAAAAGTCAAAATAACACCAAAGTATGTATGTATGCATGTATGTAGGCCAATGGTACATCTCTTAACTTAATTTGAGAAAAGATAAGGGATTGGTTTAGAGATGGCTGGGTTATTGATAAATCAGGAAATCAGAGTTTAAATCCTTTGTAAATCCACTCCACCAGTGGCCTATCAACTTTAAACCTTTTAGGGTCATCAGTCATTACCATGATGAACTTTGTTAAGTTTGTAATTGATATCTTCAAAAATAAGGAAACTATTAACAATTGACTAACTATGTAACGTTAAATGCTTAAAATAACCATAAAAAATGTTCATTGACTAAGTCATATTCACTCCAAATGTGGTCTTTGGACTCATCACAATAGTCCCTAAAGAATGAGAAAATAACGTTGATGCATTCAAAGATGGCCACACTATACCAGTAGATGCATATTAGCACTAATATGCTAAAAAAAACTGAACCAGATTTTACGTGTCCATTTCAAACCACTGTAAATCCACTCCACAGTGGCTATCACCTTGAAACTTGTAATCGCTATCATGGACGTCCCTAAGATGAAACGAACTGTATTTGGTATTGATATCTAAAAAAAACAAGGAAACCATTAACAACTCATTCTTTGCATATGTAACGCTAATGCTCAATCATCTCCTCATGAACCATACATCAGATTCACTCCAGATGTTTTATTTCGACTCATTACATCAGTCTTCAATGGATTTGAGAAAAATGTGTTGCTGCATTCATATGGCTGCACTGTACCGATAGATGCACTTTAGCACATTCTAATGCTAAAAATCCTTAAGTCAGACTGACTCCAGATTTGGTATATAGATGGGTTGGTTGTTAAGCAACAAAACCGACATGCGCAGCTATGGGCCAAAACAGATGGGGTTGGCTTAGATTGTTGACATGTAAACTATATTTCTTCAATGTTTAGTCTCTTAAAAACATTGTTACAGTTGTTGGTTAGCTAGCTAGTGAATTTTAGCCATATTAGCATTGACATGAAATCAGTCAAAAGACCTCAAAACAAGACATGGTATCAAGAACAAGATTAAACTAGCTGAAACGAGTCACTTACGATTCCCCACATGGCAGTTTGTTGGTAGCCATCTGGCCATCCAGAATCACAATAACTCACGGACTTCTACTCCATTGACCCGTGCGCATCGTTTTCGTGATGTCAGCTATCCCATCTATAGACTCAATGAATTAGCCTCTAATGAATTTGAGAATGATTAGTTGCTGTATTCAAAGTCAGCCCGCTACACCACTAATGGCCCATATCACACCAGGGCTACAGTGCATTCGGGAAGTATTCAGACCCCTTGACTTTTTACACATTTTGTTACGTTAGTCTTATTCTAAAATTGATGAAGAAAAAATTACGAATGTAATCAATCTACACACAATACCCCATAATGACAAAGCAAAAACAGGATTTTCAATTTTTTTGCAAATGTATAAAATTAAATAATAACTCACATTTACATAAGTATTCAGACCCTTTACTCAGTTCTTTGTTGAAGCACCTTTGGCAGTGATTACAGCCTCAAGTCTTCTTGAGTATGACGCTACAAGCTTGGCACACCCGTGTTTGGGGAGTTTCTCCCATTCTTCTCTGAAGATCCTCTCAAGCTCTGTCAGGTTGGATGGGGAGCGATGCTGCACAACTATTTTCAGGTCTCTCCAGAGATGTTCGATTGGGTTCAAGTCCGGGCTCTGGCTGGGCCACTCAAGGACATTCAGAGACTTGTCCCGAAGCCACTCCTGCATTGTCTTGGCCTGTGTGCTTAGGGTCGTTGTCCTGTTGGAAGGTGAACCTTCGCCCGAGTCTGAGGTCCTGAGCGCTCTGGAGCAGGTTTTCATCAAGGATCTCTCTGTACTTTGCTCCGTTCATCTTTGCCTCACACCTTACTAGTCTCACAGTCCCTGCCGCTGAAAAACATCCCCACACCATGATGCTTCCACCACCATGCTTCACCGTAGGGATGGTGCCAGGTTTCCTCCAGACGTGACGCTTGGCATCCAGGCCAAAGAGTTCAATCTTGGTTTCATCAGACCAGATAATCTTGTTTATCATGGTCTGAGAGTCCTTTAGGTGCCTTTTGGCAAACTCCAAGCGGGCTGTCATGTGTCTTTTTACTGAGGAGTGGCTTCCGTCTGGCCACTCTACCATAAAGGCCTAATTGGTGGAGTGCTGCAAAGATTGGTTGTCCTTCTGGAAGGTCTTCCCATCTCCACAGAGGAACTCTAGACCTCTGTCAGAGTGACCATTGGGTTCTTGGTCACCTCGCTGACCAAGGCCCTTCTCCCTCGATTGCTCAGTTTGTCCGGGCAGCCAGCTCTAGGAAGAGTCTTGGTGGTTCCAAACTTCTTCCATTTAAGAATGATGGAGGCCACTGTGGTCTTGGGGACCTTCAATGCTGCAGAAATGTTTTGGTACCCTTCCCCAGATCTGTCTCTCGACACAATCCTGTCTCTGAGCTCTATGGACAATTCCTTTGACCTAATGGCTTGGTTTTTGCTCTGACATTCACTGTCAACTGTGGGACCTTATATAGACAAGTGTGTGCCTTTCCAAATCATGTCCAATCAATTGAATTTACCACAGGTGGACTCCAAGTTGTAGAAACATCTCAAGGATGATAAATCAAAACAGGATGCACCTGAGCTCAATTTCAAGTCTCATAGCAAATACTTATGTAAATAAGGTCTAAAAACCTGTTTTCACTTTGTCATTATGGGGTGTTGTGTGTGTGTGTAGATTGCTGAGGAATTTTTTGTATTTAATCCATTTTAGAATAAGACTAACGTAACAAAATGTGGAAAAAGTCAAGGTCTGAATAGTTTCTGAAGGCACTGTATAAGAACTGAACCGATGAACATGGTGCCATGAAATTTGGTATGTGAACCTTATGTATATGTCCTTATAAGTTGTGTGAATATAAAGTTACTGCAACCTTAGATGGCTGCACTAGATCAGTTGGTCGAACTATAGATGTCATTGGCACTAGTGGCACCATAGGATACTAGAGCATTAACTATTGATCAAGTGGATTTTGTTTCATGCAAATTAATGTTAGATTTAAATTATACAACAAACAATGTGAAATATCGTGATTAGTATATCTGTACGATCACATATAGTTGCCCTATTATGTGGTCTGAATGTAGTGAAAAGTAGATATTTTATCCGGGGAAAACCGGAAGTCCTGCCGCTTGCACAGTCAGTGTATTACAGCATACATACGTATTACAGTATTTTGGAACACTAATGTGGCGTGTACCAACTGAGATTTAAATAATTTACACAAACAGATCCTAGATCAGCCCTAATACTCTGAAAGTATGAATGAGACTCGGGTCCCCAAAAAACATGTAAGAAAAGTTGAGCTTTACACCTCTGTTTTGTTCCCAGGGGATGTTCAACACCGTGCTGGAGGTTGCGAAATTCGAGGGGGCTTCCATCCGAACAGTCAGCGGGGTCAGAGGTCAAATTAAGAAGGCCCTGTCGACGCCGGCGGGAGCCTACAGAGCCACGTTCGAAGACAGGCTGCTGATGAGTGGTGAGGAACTGGCGCAGTGTAGAGCATTTCATAGTCCCAAAAACAACCCATAGCCCCCTTACCCTACCCTCTATGCGCTTGTGGAGATCTGAAGGATTGGATAGGTGAAAGTAATATGGTGAAAATTCCAGGAGAAGTAGGATTTATACAATTTGACTAATTATTGTATTGCCTGCAGCAGGCTGCTCCTACTGTTTTGGTTGCACATTTCATGGAAGCTTCATGGACGTTTCAGTAATTTGCAAGGAATACTGCCTACAGTGGGGGGAAAAAGTATTTAGTCAGCCACCAATTGTGCAAGTTCTCCCACTTAAAAAGATGAGAGAGGCCTGTAATTTTCATCATAGGTACACGTCAACTATGACAGACAAAATGAGAAAAAGAATTACAGAAAATCACATTGTAGGATTTTTAATGAATTTATTGCAAATGATGGTGGAAAATAATTATTTGGTCAATAACAAAAGTTTCTCAATACTTTTATATACCCTTTGTTGGCAATGACACAGGTCAAACGTTTTCTGTAAGTCTTCACAAGGTTTTCACACACTGTTGCTGGTATTTTGGCCCATTCCTCCATGCAGATCTCCTCTAGAGCAGTGATGTTTTGGGGCTGTCGCTGGGCAACACAGACTTTCAACTCCCTCCAAAGATTTTCTATGGGGTTGAGATCTGGAGACTGGCTAGGCCACTCCAGGACCTTGAAATGCTTCTTACGAAGCCACTCCTTTGTTGCCCAGGACGGTGTGTTTGGGATAATTGTCATGCTGAAAGACCCAGCCACATTTAATCTTCAATGCCCTTGCTGATGGAAGGAGGTTTTCACTCAAAATCTCACGATACATGGCCCCATTATTCTTTCCTTTACACGGATCAGTCGTCCTGGTCCCTTTGCAGAAAAAGCAGCCCCAAAGCATGATGTTTCCACCCCCATGCTTCACAGTATGTATGGTGTTCTTTGGATGCAACTCAGCATTCTTTGTCCTCCAAACACGACGAGTTGAGTTTTTACCAAAAAGTTATATTTTGGTTTCATCTGACCATATGACATTCTCCCAATCCTCTTCTGGATCATCCAAATGCACTCTAGCAAACTTCAGAAGGGCCTGGACATGTACTGGCTTAAGCAGGGGGACACGTCTGGCACTGCAGGATTTGAGTCCATGGCGGCGTAGTGTGTTACTGATGGTAGGCTTTGTTACTTTGGTCCCAGCTCTCTGCAGGTCATTCACTAGGTCCCCCCCGTGTGGTTCTGGGATTTTTGCTCACCGTTCTTGTGATCATTTTGACCCCACGGGGTGAGATCTTGCGTGGAGCCCCAGATCGAGGGAGATTATCAGTGGTCTTGTATGTCTAATAATTGCTCCCACAGTTGATTTCTTCAAACCAAGCTGCTTACCTATTGCATATTCAGTCTTCCCAGCGTGGTGCAGGTCTACAATTTTGTTTCTGGTGTCCTTTGACAGCTCTTTGGTCTTGGCCATAGTGGAGTTTGGAGTGTTGACTGTTTGAGGTTGTGGACAGGTGTCTTTTATACTGCTAACAAGTTCAAACAGGTGCCATTAATACAGGTAACGAGTGGAGGACAGAGGAGCCTCTTAAAGAAGAAGTTACAGGTCTGTGAGAGCCAGAAATCTTGCTTGTTTGTAGGTGACCAAATACTTATTTTCCACCATAATTTGCAAATAAATTCATTAAAAATCCTACAATGTGATTTTCTGGGGGAAAAAAATCTCAATTTGTCTGTCATAGTTGACGTGTACCTATGATGAAAATTACAGGCGCCTCTCATCTTTTTAAGTGGGAGAACTTGCACAATTGGTGGCTGACTAAATACTTTTTTCCCCCACTGTATATGTCCTTATAAGTTGTGTGAATATGAAGTTACTGCAACCTTAGATGGCTGTACTAGATCAGTTGGTGGAACTATAGATGTCATTGGCACTAGTGGCACCATAGGATACTAGAGCATTAACTATTGATCAAGTGGATTTTGTTTCATGCGAATTAATGTTAGATTTAAATTATGCAGACGAACAATGTGAAATATCGTGATTAGTATATCTGTATGATCACATATAGTTACCCTATTATGTGGTCTGAATGTAGTGAAAAGTGGGTATTTTATCCGGGGAAAACCGGAAGTCCTGCTGCTTGCACAGTCAGCGTATTACAGCATACATACGTATTACAGTATTTGTGGAACAGTTTCATTTATAATAATGTATTTGTATCCCAAAATCATTGTCATGTGGTTAATCAAAATTCTATCTAAATGAAAATGATACAAACCTAAAAAGTAACTTCTGCCATTGCCAATTATGTAAAAATAGCCTATAAAGCCAACAAATAATAACATTGCAGCCTGCAGGTAGAAAATATCCTGATTTAAAAAATAAATATCCTATAAATCACATTGGCTATGCATGGCCTAACTGCAACGAACTTGAAACATTGTATCAACTATTAACTTGGGCCCAGTCTGAAGCGCCTTGCAATATTGTAAAAAATATTCTGGGCACCGAGGCAGTGTCTAGACTTGACAGTTCATACAGCTTTAGTATTCTGATCATAGCGTTCTGTTCATGGAATTCTGAACGCGTCATGTGTCTACGCCTACATTTTAAACGTGGCCACAGTCTGTCCGGATTCCCTATTCCCGCACTATATTCAAATGCCAGTATGCATTCTACAAACGGCGTACATTTCACCCCATGGGTCTCCCGATCGCAGCCGGCTACGACAGAGCCTGGATTCGAACCAGGATCTCTAGCGGCACAGCTAGCACTGCGATGCAGTGCCTTAGACCACTGCGCCACTCGGGAGAATATTAGGCCAGTAAACACGTTCCTCACACGCTAGGAACGTATTTCCTCCAACGTTATAATGAAAAGGTGCCTCGGTCCTAAAACAGAATTTTAGTATTGTTGAGACTGTTGGGAGGAGTGCTGATGACTTCGCCCGCTGTATGCGCTTTTGGTAGCCTGATTGCGTCCAGACTGAGAAATCCACACACAATGCAGCCTGACCACCTTCTGATGTGGTCAGCCAGATCTGAATACAATCAGACCACAAAGCGACTTTTGTGCGTCTAGACCAGTCTTTTAAATGCAGTCTTTGTATTCTGATAGCAGAAGTCGCATATAAGTGTCAAGTGTAGACACGACCAGAGTTTCCTGCGCCTGTGAGCTCGACACAGGAATTGTCATTCTCAATGGATGTAAAAACAGACTTTGTTTGCGAAGAAAACATTACTTTGAGAAGCTCCACAGCTCATTAGTGGTGGTGCATTAAGCCAATCAGAAATACTATCAGATCCCCAAATGGGCACATTAATATGCCTACATTTGCGAGCCGGCCAGGTAGCCAATACGCCTACTTCTATACATAAATCAGGTGCGCGTCCTTACTCAACATTGGCAGGCGCACTCCAAACAAAAGACAATGACTAAATTGACAAAACTCGTAAATGGAATGAAATAAATCAAAACTTGTTTCTCACAGGTGTTGCATAGGTTGTGGGCTCTGAAAACAACGTGTCCACTCCGACAATGATTTGTCTCGCCCTCCGCAATGGATTAATTCACTGAGATGGGTGTGAATAAGACAGGTGTCTCGTGTGCCATAAAAACGATATATATATATATTTGCAAAAAAAATTGAATGTTATTAATTACGTGTGTGTGTGTGTGTAGACATTGTGTTCCTGCGCTCCTGGTACCCGGTGTCAGTCCCTCAGCTCTACAACCCTGTGACATCCCTGCTGATGCCAGCGGGCCAGAAGGACAGCTGGTCGGGCATGAGGACGGTGGGCCAGCTCAAACACGACCTGGGGATCCGCAACAAGCCCAACACAGACTCACTGTACAAGGTAAGGACAGACCGACGAGGTGGCAGCCAGAATACATAGAGAAAAAAGGAATGTCCGCTAACTGTTCTGCTGCTCCCAAACATGACCCTAATTCTAAACCTAACCGTAACCCAGCAAGCAGTTGCATATCAACAGATAGTTTGACCATCTGTAAGATGATCTATAGGGGACTATCCAAATAAAGTGTGACCTGATATTTTGATGAAGCTCAATTGATTAAATATGGAGGCAGTTAGACTATCAACCGTTTATTAGTCCAACTCGGAAAAGCAACTCACAAATGTCAAACACGTTAACTCTGAATCATACACATGAGATTTAAATTGGTTGCCTGTGTGTGTTTGCTCTTCAAGGGGCTGATGTTCATTTGATACAATTTCCTACACATAGATTTTATCATATGAAGTAGTATTTTGGAATAAAAACTGCAATGTTCACATGGGGCATTTTAGGTATTTTGGGTGAATAACATAACTTAAAAATGGAGCATAGCAAAAAAGAACACCACACAGATTTTTGGATACAATGTTAATATCCTACTTCTACATTTTCAGTGAAAAATCACTACAACTAAGCAACCACTGTTGCTTGTGCATTAGCTGTCACCTTGATATATTGGCTACACTAGCGAGCTGACTACTTCCCTCGCCATAATGTCAAAGGATCTGTGGGCGGCAGGTAGCTTAGTGGTTAAGAGCGTTGTGCCAGTAACCGAAAGGTCGCTGGTTCTAATCCCTGAGTCGACTAGGTGAAAAATCTGTCGAGGTGCCCTTGAGCAAGGCACTTAACCCTAATTGCTCCTGTAAGTCGCTCAAGAGCGTCTGCTAAATTACTAAAATGTAAGCTGTGCTCAGCAGATGGGGCGAAGGACACTGTCCCGGTGTTGTGAAACACCTGCTTGCCATGCATGCTCTCCCCACTGAGTAGACTGTATCACGCGGTGACATCCAGGTGGTTACCAATATAAGTTATTTCTCATAAAGGCTGCTATCCTACTTGGAATAAAAAACTTGGAGCAAAACATTTGGCTACGTTAGCTAACACCATACAGCTGCCCAGTGGGAAGCACCTCTGGTTGGCAGGCACCTCGATACATCACCTGTGCACTGGTCATTCACACAGGCTTGTCGTCGTTCTTCCCAAGGAATGTCACTGTGACATCCATGGTGACCAATATTACAAGTTATTTTTTAGCTCGCCCATCAAAATAAACATACCTCTTTAACTAGCGTCCGGCATTTAATGTCTGTTTTATGTATGTGAAACCGAAGGCAACTTTCCACATTGCGTGGACAGTAAAATGTGTCTAAATGTAATTTCACCACCCGTGCTGTTGGTGGTGGTAACGCACCATCTTCTCTGGCACCATTTGACATCTGTCCTCCGCTCCAATGTCTCACAGCGTCTGTAGTCAGAGAAGTTATCTGCTGAAGCCAGTCTATTGGCCTGGTTGGATTCTGAACCTCTGACCTAACCCTTGACCCTTTCTCCCCCCTTGGCAGCCGGTGGTGCGAGCGCAGCGCCACTTCAACAAGCTGCACATCCCCAGGCAGCTGCAGAAGGCATTGCCCTTCAAGAGCAAGCCCAAACAGGACCAGCCCAAGGGCAAGACGCCCAAGGACCTCCAGAGGCCCGCTGTCATACGGGAGCCCCATGAGAGGAAGGTAAGGGTCTCCTTACGGAAAGGATAATTAAAAATCCCCTTTGGATTGCATTCTGTGATGTTTGTCAGATTCTTATTATCTAAATCAATGTGTAAAAGCTGGGCTGTAACAACCTACACACTGTTGCCTCCCCCATAATATATGGGGTGCGCACACATCAATAACTGTATATATGAATGGACAAAGCCATTGATCACGTGACACCATTCATTCCTATGTGAAGACTCAATAGCGCATTGAAGCCAAATGAAGTCAGTTAAATTGGCGTCTCATGGAGACATAACATGCTCAGTTTGAGCAACTCCAGGAAGTGACGTTGCAGGCTAGCTCAGTGCTGCCTCATTGAGTAACTCAAGTTGAAGGACGACCAGGGTACTGCAGGCTGCCATTAGCAACTAAATTATCCTTATAACTTGTGTGCGATTTTAAAATAATAGTTTCAAGGACATACAACTGGTGTATTCTAAGCAATTATTGGTACCATGATTCTCTTAGAATTTTTTTTTTTTTTACACTAAGATGGACCACGAAGATCGCAATTTTCTGCCAACAATGCCTGCAGTACCGCAATCAGCCTTGAATTTTTGTTGCTTCAATGACTGCCCCTGACACACAAATGACACTGCATTTGAAATCTGAGCATGTGCCCTCTTGTCCACCAGGTGGCGGCGCTGCTCAACGCACTGAGCACGGTGCACAACTACAAGAGCAAGAAAGCGCACACGGCGCAGCATGCCAAGCACAAGGACTTCCTGCGGCAACGGGACAAGGCGGAGGAGGACAAGCTCAAGAGGCAGAAGGAGGCGAAGAAGAAGCTTTACCGTATGATGGGCCAGAAGGAGAAGAAGAGGCAGAGGTCCAGTCTGAAAGGGGCGCCGCAGGATGACTGATTTTATGTCAATATGACTCTCTTAAAGGCCAGTGTAATAACTTTAAGGCCTACCAATGGAATGGAATAATCCCCTGTTTAAGCATAACCTGTTGGTCTGCAGTGGAGTAGGGTGAAATTGCCCCTAGACACTAATCTTGGGTCAGTTTTAGCATTTTCCCCGCTAATGGTTAAAGGGATACTTCGGGATTTTGGCAATGAAGCCCTTTGTCTACTTCCCAGAGTCAAATGAACTCATTCATGGATATCATTTTTATGTCTCTGCATCCAGTATGAAGGAAGGATTGGGGGAGGGGAAGCTGATCCTAGATCTGTACCTAGGGGAATCTTCACCCAGAGTGTCTGCAGTACTGGGGTAGGAGACAGTGGAAATGCAAGGAATGGATGAACATCCTTGAGCTTCTGTAGCCTGGTTGTGTAATGTGCAACCCCAGTTATTGACACCTCATTTTGATTGAGAGTGGTTCCATAGAGGAACTAGAAAGAACTGTATATTGGTCATATCTTGACCACTTGTCTAGCTTCAATCTTGTGTTGTAATAAAAAATAACAGATATTACAAAAATATGTTGTGAGTGCCTTGAAACTCTAAAAGAGCATAAAAGTAAAGTAAGTGTAATTCTATAATATATTTTGATCGAATAGAAGTTTCGTAATGGCTAGGTTGTTACAAATGCACTAAGTGGACGCAAATGGCATTTCAGTGACTTTGAAGTTGTGCCTGTTGTCAGAGATCGAGAACTCATCATGGATGTAACCCATTTTAGCATGGACATTGCCATTGAGGACTTCCACCATTTTATAGTAGTCAACTGGGTGGGGTCCCTGAGTTGGGAGCAATCAGCCAATGAAGAAGAATGTACTACTTTCAAATGGGGATCGCCACAATGGTGCTGCCCATGCAGTCAGACGCTATAGAGCCCAACAGTGGTGTCATAATACCCTAGTGGTCAAACAGGGTAATGGTTCTAATCGATATTCCACCATTCATTTTTCCCATAGGGAATTTTAGAAACACTTAAAATAAGGGCTGTGTTTCATGTAGGCTTAACCTGGCGTGACGTTTTCATAACCATGTAAATCTCTCTCAGGCAAGGTGTCTTATCAATATATTCGGCTCTATTTACTCTCAGATTCTAAAATGCTAATTAGACATCATGCAAGACTACAAATCCCTGCAAGATTTTGCACCTCATCTCTAGCTGACACCTTTGCCAACAGGTATTGTGTCAATTTAAAACTTGCACAAGACGGTTCACAGAAGTGTCAACTTTAAAGACTTTTGGACAATTTATTCATTACTAAATTTAGCTAAATTAGATAGTTCATCCAGAGATTCTTACCTTTGCCTCTATTCGGCAGTCTCGTTCAGATCATCGTGACATTTGTAGTTCTTTATGATGGCCACATTAGCAGCTAATTAGCATTTCATTTTTGGGGGTTAAATACAGGCGAATACATTGATAAAATCCACCTTGTCCTAGAGAGATTTACATGGTTATCAAAATGTCACGCCAGGGTAAGCCTACATGAAACATGGCCCTTATTACGTTTTTCTAAAACCCCTATGGGAAAAATGAATGGTGGAAAAACTATTGGAACCATTTCCTTGTTTGACCGCTAGGTTTTATGGGTATGACTCCTCAACCTGTGGTACTCTATAATATCAGATACAAAAAGGAGTCCTCTGTCTATCTCTATGGCCTGTTGTTACATGTATATGCCCTCTCATTGGCTAGAATGGTCCCACCTGATCTCGCCTCCTCCCACCTGCCTTCCATCTTTGAGGACATGTATTTTCATTGTTAGTGGTCACTTGAATATAGGTTAACACAGGCTAAGAAGATCTTATGTTTTGTTCTGAGATATCATTCGGTTAACATGACCTTTTATGAATGCCTTTTGTGCTTGTTGTGATTACATAAATGTTTCAAAGTTCACAAAAGTGGGTTAGCGGATGAACATGATCCCATAGAAAATGTTTCATAAGATCTAAGCCTGTGTTTACCATATACTTTTTCAGTATTTATCTAAAAAAAAATAACATTAATTTCCCCATAGGCTTTGGCCAATGAGCCATGCCGGAGTTAGTGCCTACAAAAAGACGCCATTACTGTTGCGCTCTATACAACAGCTGATTCAAAGGGGGTGTGGCAGATGTCAAAACTCTTCAGCAGTAGGATACACCTGGACTCCCTAAAAACACGCCACTTCGATACAGCTACGACCGGAAGTGACTTTCCGTAGCAGGATAGGAGAGCATTTTCACTAACCCTACCCTAACCCTTTTCCTAACCTTACTACATTAGGAGAATTAGGTTAAGGTTAGGGAAAATGCTCTCTAACGAAAAGTCACTTTCGGTCGTAGCTGTATCGAAGTGGCGTGTTTTTAGGGAATCTCGTGTGCAACAGCTGATTACTATGTCACTAACTACAGTTATTTTGGCTTTATCTCAGACTCCTTCGTCTCATCTCCTTCATCTGCACTGATATGAAAACGCCAAATAGGTGAAAGTACTATTGTGGGTCGCTACCAGGGAGTTGCCTTCAACTATCCAGCACCTATTTTACATCCGTGCAGGTAAAGGAAAGAAGAGAAATCCACTTCACACTTGATGCACTGTGGTACTACATTTTGGTTGTCTGTATTCGTTAACTTGTCCTCATAGAGAAAGCATAGTGAATGTCATTCTTTGTGGTAAATAATATGGACACAATGGCAAAGATTGTTAAAAGTTCTCAAATTATATTACAAGCTATGCAGAACACCAACCAAAACACTGCAAGGTGGGCAAAAGGTGAGAATTAAAAGTGCTTTATTAGTCTATATGCAGATATTAAATTGCTGCTTAGTCACGAAACGTGGCAATTCCTTAAATTGTGTAGGCAACGCCACACATTTACATAGAAAAAAAAAACTAAAACGTCCCTTGTCTGTCACAAAAGTTGAATAAAATGATATTTGAACTCTGACAATTGGCCATGGTGTTGGTCCTTCAACTGGTCAATTTTTTTGTACATATCCACAGGAAAGTATTATTAAACCGACTTTAAAGCGCGAGTCTGTGTGGCAATCAAGATGTTTGCACATGACCGAAGGCACGTGCACATGACAGAAGTACATGCACACGATGCATACTAACAGGTGTTTACATGGTTTTGCACGTGTGCCAGGTGATAGAAATGTCCACTTCAGTACCTGCGCTCTAAATAGTCGGTAAACAATACTTTCCTGTGGATATTGTCTCAAATTTAGAGCAGCTGAAGGATGAAGGACCAACCACACAGACGACCGGTAAAGTAAGTTCAAATGTAATTTAAAACATTCTAGCTTGTAAGGAAAACTTTCTCAGTGCATTGTTTGACTGTATACCAAGAATTGGGCTCAAAGTCTGCCTAATATCAATCTTCTGCTCTGCTCCCAACAACATGCATCAAATCAGTTTTTCTGATCTACATCACTCAATACAACCCAGTCCAATCAGCAGGTGATTGATGAGCCTAAATGGCGGAGGCTTAAATCACTGTTTCAGTTTCCTCAGCACCTCTTTAGTCAGCTGCTTAGTGTATCTGTTGATCTTCCGGTGTCTTGGCATCCATCCCAGGAGAAAACGATGGAAGTCTGTCCAGGCAAAGGCAAACATCTCCCTCCACTCTTTCTCCAGGGCAGCAAAGTCCACCTGCTTGGTCACTGATGCCCTCAGTTCTGTGAAGTAGTAGTCCAGCAGGCCGGGAACCCTCTTTTCAAGCTGTTTCTCCTCTATTTCCTCCAGGAGGTAGACAACATCCTTCATCCCACAGCCTCCACCCACGTACTGGAAGTCCACTGCCGCCACACCCTGACCACTCCCAGAAAAGCAGAAGTTAGCTAGTTTGGCATCTCCGTGAACGATGGTCTTGAAGCGGCATTCATTGAGGATCCTGTCAATCTCCCCTGGCAGCTGCTTTAAGCTGGGCGTCGTCCATGGCATCCAGCTCGTCAGGGCGTGTTTCCAGGTGCCAATAGGTACCTACGGGCCACAGCCCCTCCGGCACCACCCCCAGGAAGAGGCCATGGAAGTGGGCCAGCCAGCTGAGGCAGGCCCTCATCTCTGTATCCGTAACGCTGGTTCTTCTCTGGTCGAAGCCCACCACATCCAGGTCCTCCAGAACTATCAGCTGTTCGTCCCCGTATGAACAAGCAGCCAGACAGGCTGGCATCCGACAGCCATCATTGGTGGAGTAGTTCTGGTACCAGTGCGTCTCCACTTGGTAGGACCTCACCTTGCGCATTTGAGACAGGTCTGTGTTCCAGCCTCCAGGGTGCTCGGCCTCCTTTGGGATCGTTACATGTTTGACAACGACCGAGGGGCGGTCACAGCCTTCTAAATGGATCCTCACAATCTGGCCATAACCGCTCCACAGCGTCTGGATTTTGGCACCAACACGCAGCGCCTTTGCACCACACTCCTGCAGAATAAGGTCCTGATATTCTTGTTTCATTCCTGAAGAGGAGTCTTTCACCAGACCGAAAAATAACAGGTTAGGTTATGTCAAAATCTGTCCAAGAACCTACAGCTTTTCTCAAAAGACTGATACATTTAGGCAGAAAGTGTTGAATGATGGAACAATAAAGTCAATACAACGTTTGATTGAATAGGAAATGCAAGTCTATGCGTTTCACACACATGGAGGAAATGGAACTTCGACTGAAACTATTTAATGAAGTGCAAACTTTCAAATCCACACACCGCCATCTCACGAGGGACACAGTCAAAACATTAGTTAACAATGCCAATGTGCGTAAAACTCACCATGAACATGTGTTGCACGTCGAGTTTTATTGCGTTATTACGTTTCGATCATGAATACTCTTCAATGTTGACTGGAGATTTACATCAAATCAACGGCGCAATACTGCCACCAACTGGATTGGAGTGTAAACGCTCGTCATTGGTGGAGCTACCCGGAAGCTAAATCATGGAAATGACTTATGTTGTTGTCATCGAGCAGAAAGTAGCTCGTATACTTGCTAGCTGTAAATCATAATGTAATACTGACATTGTCAAGGCGGTTGTTTGTATTTCATTCATTTGATAATCTTCTTTTAAAAATGTATATTTTGGAAATGTAACTCATTGCTTTGATTTAGCTGTCTGACGTTCTGTCAAGTTCAGCTTGCTAGCTAACGCAGCTAGCTAGCTAACGTTAGTTACAACGAACGACAGGGACAGTCATATTTTCCAGGCTGTATGAAGGCGTTTGAAAACACGTTAGAACAAAATGGATTGCACGGCACTGGAGCACGATGCAGTTAAATTTGCTAAAACTGCTGTCATCTGCGACCAGAATGGAAAATACAACGAGGCTGTCTTCTATTATAAGGTAACGTTAAGGACTATCACACTGAAATGGCTTTTACTTTAACCTGCATCTTATGGTCAACATTGTGGAAAAGACTACTTGATCACTGATGCACTTTTAGCCTTTAGAAGTGGCATCCCAGTGTTTACACCTGTGTAACAAACGGTATGTATTCAGCCTTTAAGGGGTATCCAGAAGCTCAAATAATATAGGGTACTATCGTAGAGGTACTTGACCAATGGTTAAGACACTCGCTTTTATTTTGCTACATTAAAATTCATTTATGTAATTTTGAAAGCGATAATGTTGGTGTTGTATGTGATATTAGGAGGCGGCGCAAGCCCTGATCTACGCCGGCATGGCAGGGTCTAAACTGGAGGGCATCCAGGATAAAGTCAATGAGTACCTGGACCGGGTTCAGGCCCTGCACAATGCTGGTGAGTCCACCTCAACAGCGTAGGGAAACTGGTGATCCTCCATAACCACTTCTGACCCTAACTTCATTCACTCTCATACTCCATCCAGAATGCTTGGGCCCGTATTCATAAAGCATATCAGAGAGTAGCCTATAGTGCATTCGGAAAGTATTCAGAACCCTTGACTTTTTCCACATTTTGTTATGTTACAGCCTTATTCTAAAATGGATTACAATTATTTTTCCTCCCTCATCAATCTACACACAATGCCCCATAATGACAAAGCGAAAACAGGTTTTTAGAAATGTTTGCAAATGTATTAAAAATAAGAAACAGAAATACCTGATTTACATAAGTGTTCAGACCCTTTGCTATGAGACTCAAATTGAGCTCAGGTGCATCCTGTTTCACTTGATCATCCTTGAGATTTGTCTACAACTTGATTGGAGTCCACCTGTGGTAAATTCAATTGATTGGATTTGATTTGGAAAGGCACACAGCTGTCTATATAAGGACCCACAATTGACCGTGCATGTCAGAGCAAAAACCAAGCCATGAGGTCAAAGGAATTTTCCGACAGGATTGTGTCAAGGCACAGATCTGGGGAAGGGTACCAAAACATTTCTGCATCATTGAAGGTCCTCAAGAACGCAGTGGCCTCCATCATTCTTAAATGGAAGAAGTTTGGAACCACCAAGACTCTTCCTAGAGTTGGCCGCCCGGCCAAACTGAGCAATCGGGGGAGAAGGGCCTTGGTCAGGGAGGTGACCAAGAACCTGATGGTCACTCTGACAGAGCTCCAGAGTTCGTCTGTGGAGATGGGAGACCTTCCAGAAGGACAACCATCTCTGCAGCACTCCACCAATCAGGCCTTTATGGTAGAGTGGCCAGACAGAAGCCACTCCTCAGTAAAAGGCACATGACAGCCCACTTGGAGTTTGCCAAAAGGCACCCAAAGGACTCTGACCATGAAAAACAAGATTCTCTGGTTACTAGTTAGGATTGAGGGAAAGATTAACAGAGCAAAATACAGAGAGATCCTTGATGAAAACCTGCTCCAGAGCACTCAGGACCTCGGACTCGGGCGAAGGTTCACCTTCCAACAGCACAACGACCCTAAGCACACAACCAAGACAATGCAGGAGTGGCTTCGGGACAAGTCTCTGAATGTCCTTGAGTGGCCCAGCCAGAACCCGGACTTGAACCGGCTCGAACATCTCTGGAGAGACCTGAAAATAGCTGTGCAGCGACGCTCCCCATCCAACCTGACAGAGCTTGAGAGGATCTGCAGAGAAGAATGGGAGGAACTCCCCAAATATGGGTGTCCCAAGAAGACTTGAGGCTGTAACCGCTGTCTAAGGTGCTTTGACAAAGGACTGAGTAAAGGGTCTGAATACTTATGTAAATGTCATATTTCTGTTTTTTTTTTAATACATTTGCAAAAATGTATAAAAACCCATTTGTGCTATGTCATTATGGGGTATTGTGTAGATTGCTGAGGAAAAAAAACAATTTAATCAATTTTAGAATAAGGCTGTAAGGTAACAAAATGTGGAAAAAGTCAAGGGGTCTGAATACTTTCCGAATGCACTGTATCTAGTCCTTAGCCTATCTAATGTTGGATCACAGTAAACTTACAGCGAGTTTCCTTCTGAGTCATTCTTTCCATGACCTACGGAACAGCGTACAGTTCACGTCACATGTGTGTGCGCTTGTGTGTGTGTGCATGTTTGTGCGAGACGTGAGGGCCTTCGCTTGTGTTTATGAAACTGGCCCACAGATTGAGTTTGAGTTTATTTTTTATTTTTACAGGGACAGTGCACATTAATCAACGTTTCAGTAAAAGTGCCGGTTTAAGCCAGCCGCCTAATTTTCAACCGCAGTCCCTGGGCAGGTTATTAAAAACAATTTACAATAACAATACAGACAAACAATGAGCAGTGAGCACATGCAGAGCAACACAGGACAAGTAGCACGCAGACAGAGCAATAGCACAAAAAGCAACAAAACTAAATACATAAAAGCAACAAGGTGTTTGTGGGTGTGTCCCGTTAAGTTGGAGAGTGGGTGTGACTCGGGTTCATACTGTACGGTGGCCCGGGCCTAGAAGTATGTCAACATGGCATTGTGCCTCTTTAATATCTCTGTCGCTGAAGAGGGTCATGTTACTGTATTCAAGTTGATATGAGGCACAAGCCTTATTTGGGTAGAGGAAAGCTCTTTCATTGTTTTCAGCGTTTCTCAATGCAGTAGTTGGCAGCAGCTATCCTAATATATCCACATCACCTCAAATATATCACACCTATATTTCCCTCATCCAGTTGTTATTTTCTTAGTCAGCCTCTCATTGAGGGTAGCCTAGTGGTTATAGCTCTGGGCCAGTAACCGAAGGGTTGCTGGTTTGAATACCAGAGTTGGCAAGGTGAAAAATCGGTCGTGCCCTTGAGTAATGCACTTAACCCAAATTTGCTACAGGGGCGCCGTACTACTATGGCTGTAAAACAACACATTTCACTGCACCTATCCAGTGTATGTGAAAATAAATATTTTTAATGTTCCATTGTGTCTTACTTACCTTTGACCCCATACAGTTCAAGCTCAAAGTAGCGACCCTCTGAAGAGCAAGCAGCAGGTGGATCTGGAGCGGGCCCACTTCCTGGTCACACAGGCCTTTGAGGAGGATGAGAAGGGCAATGGGGACGAGGCCATCGAACTCTACACACAGGCCGTGGAACTCTGCATCCAGACGGTAGGGGCTGCTCAGGAAAGGCCCAGGCTTCTTTTAGGCCTGCTGTGAGATTACAGAGGCAACTTTCACCACCAATGCTCTTGTACTGAGCAAATCAACAACAACAAAATGAGCTGTACTCTCTGCTATTCAGACCACTGTATAAAACATTATACAGTATGTTAATTCCTGGGTCATCACCAGGTCCAATGAAGGTGTAGTCAGGAACGAGTATAAGAACTGCTTATTTGGATTAGGCCATGAACAGACTGATGCCCCATTAGCCTTCATTGTATGTATTGACATCCCTCTTGACCTACTTTCTAGGGTACATAATATGTGTGGCAGGTGTCAAGTGTAACTCCCTTCTCACTCCTTTTCTCACAGTCTAATGATACGACAGACCAGGGGCTGCAGGGCAAACTGAAGCAGCTGGCTCGTCAGGCCCTCGATAGGTAAGGAGGTCACTCTCCCCTCCTCTCTAGTGTCATATTTCTACATTTCTAGTGTTGTATGTATACAGTGCATTCGGAAAGTATTCAGACCCCTTTACTTTTTCCACATTTTGTTACGTTACATCCTTATTTTTAAATGGATTAAATAAATACAAATTATCATCAATCTACATACAATACCACATAATGAAGAAGCGAAACAGGTTTTTATACATTTTTGAAAATGTATTACAAATAAAAAACAGAAATACCTTATTTACATAAGTATTCAGACCCTTTGCTGTGAAACTCGAAATTGAACTTCGGTGCATCCTGTTGCCGTTGATCATCCTTGAGATGTTTCTACAACTTGATTGGAGTCCACCTGGTGGTAAATTTCATTGATTGGACATGATTTGGAAAGGCACACACCTGTCTATATAAGGTCCCACAGTTGACAGTGCATGTTAGAGCAAAAACCAAGCCATGAGGTCGAAGGAATTGTCCGTAGAGCTCCGAGACAGGATTGTGTCGAGGAACAGATCTGGGGAAGGGTACAAAAAAATGTCTGCTGCATTGAAAGTCCCCAAGAACACACTGGCCTCCATCATTATTAAATGGAAGAAGGTTGGAACCACCACGACTCTTCCTAGAGCTGGCCGCCCGGCCAAACTTGAGCAATCGGGGGAGAAGGGCCTTGGTCAGGGAGGTGACCAAGAACCCGATGGTCACTCTGTCAGAGCTCCAGAGTTCCTCTGTGGATATGGGAGAACCTTCCAGAAGGACAACCATCTCTGCAGCACTCCACCAATCAGGCTTTTATGGTAGAGTGGCCAGACGGAAGCCACTCCTCAGTAAAAGGCACATAATAGACTGCTTGGAGTTTGCCAAAAGGCACCTAAAGGACTCTGACTATGAGAAACAAGATTCTCTGGTCTGATGAAAGCTCTTTGGCCTGATAGCCAAGCGTCACATCTGGAGGAAACCTGGCACCATCCCTACGGTGAAGCATGGTGGTGGCAGCATCATGCTGTGGGAATGTTTTTCAGCGGCAGGGACTGGGAGGCTAGTCAGGATCGATGGAAAGATTAACGGATCAAAGTACAGAGAGATCCTTGATGAAAACCTGCTCCAGAGCGCTCAGGACCTCAGACTAGGGGCGAAGGTTCCCCTTCCAACAGGACAACAACCCTAGGTACACAGCCAAGACAACGCAGGAGTGGCTTTGGGACAAGTCTCTGAATATCCTTGAGTGGCCCAGCCAGAGCCCGGACTTGAACCCAATCAAACATCTCTGGAGAGACCTGAAAATAGCTGTGCAGCAACGCTCCCCATCCAACCTGACAGAGCTTGAGAGGATCTTCAGAGAAGAATGGGAGAAACTCCCCAAATACAGGTGTGCCAAGCTTGTAGCGTCATGCCCAAGAAGAATCGAGGCTGTAATCGCTGCCAATGGTGCTTTAACAAAGTACTGAGTAAAAGGTCTGAATACTTATGTAAATGTGATATTTCAGTTTTTTATTTTTAATAAATGTGGCAAAACAAAATTGCTTTATCCTTATGAATCTATTCACAATACCCCATAATTACATTTTTTTTATTAAAATCAATTTTAGAATAAGGCTGTAACTTAACAAAATGTGGAAAAAGTCAAGGGGTCTGAATACTTTCCGAATGCGCTGTAAATGATCAAGGAACACCAACCAACCAACCAACCAAGCACTTTGTTTCTCTCCAGGGCGGAGGGGCTGAAGGAGTCCCAGTCCGCCAGTCCCTTAGCCCAGTCGCCACAGGACAGGCCGGGGCCCTCAGGGGCCAAACCCAGTGGGGGGCCTTGCCCCGTCAGACAGTTCTTCCCCCTGGGGCCTGACTTCTCCCTCCAGGACCGCCCCCAGCCAGTCAGGGCGGTCCAATCCAGCGAGCCGCAAGGCCAGCGCTACACCTCAGAGGAGATAGAGGTGCTCAGGTGAGCAGGCTGGGATCTATCTGGACTCTGGAGAATCATAGAACATAGTCAACACATTGAGTTTAGGCTCCCAAGAAGCGATGATCTGTGGTTCCATAATAATCCCCATTTCCCTAGGAGCATAATGCCAGTGTGTGACTGGTTTTTCTAAAGGTTAGGCAGTAACACACCTTTGTTTGGTGAAGGTTCAGGTTTGACTCTCATCTATGTTTTCACCTCACATTTCTCCTGATTCTCCTGTCCTCCTTTCCACATAGGAGCACGTCCAAGATCAACAGCATTCCCTTCGTCCCCTTCATGAGCGTGGACCTGAAGGAGAGATTTGCCTTTCCTGTTCCATTCTCGTAAGTCAGGATATTCTTGGCTGAGTTTAAAAAGTTCCTTAGTAGGTGGGTGTACGGATTGTAGAATACTAGATGGAGAGCCACTTGATTGCATTAATTGTTAATTTGTGATAAACATCAGACCTTTTATTCTCTGTGGATGTTTCCCAGGGACAAACTAGGCAAGCTGGCCCTGTCTCCCAAGCAGAAAACCATCTTCTCCCGCTGGGTTCGCCCTGACGAGATCTGCAATAACCCCACCATGATATTATCTGTATCCAGCTTCAGCATCAAACAGGTCAGGCCACACACATAGCCTTCAATATCAATAAAAGTGCAGTAGCTATATGAGTTGCGTTGTATTGGAATTGACTCATCCTCAGATGGCGCCACTTGTACATATGTTTTGTCTGATAAAACCTACCTACTTTATGGACAATCTGCTCTATACTGAATCCCTGTCAATGTGATGGATAAAACTGACAGATTCACCTCCTATCCTGGTGGTCGGATGTCAGTCTCATACCCCGTTATTGTTAATCACCTACTCTCTCCTGTTAGACGGTGGTGTCTGACTGCTCATTCGTGGCGTCATTAGCCATCAGCGCTGCCTATGAGCGACGCTACAACAAGAAGCTCATCACCAGCATCATCTACCCCCAGAACCGGCGGGGGGAGCCAGAGTATAACCCCTGTGGGAAGTACATGGTGAAGCTTCACATCAACGGTGTGCCCAGGAAGGTAACACACACTGCAAAACCTGGGAGATGGGTCCACTGGAGCTCAATGTCATTGTGAGATAAACTAGCAAACCTGTCTCTGACAGTGTCTACCAATGGGTTGTATTGTTCTAAGTGTTCCCCCTCCTGTTCCCTGCAGGTCATTATAGACGACTTCCTTCCATGTGGTCAGAATGGAGAGCTGCTGTGTTCCTACTCCAGCAACAGGAACGAGCTGTGGGTCTCCCTCATAGAGAAGGCCTACATGAAGGTCATGGGAGGCTACGACTTCCCTGGATCCAACTCGGTGAGGGAGTTTCCCCTGTGAAAGAACTAGTACTACCACCTGCACTGGGCTCTGTCCAATAGCCAAGCGTGCAACTCAATAGTCTGCTTTGGCTACCTCTCCTTGTCTCCTACTGAACTGATAATATGAGAGAAGAGAATGTTTCACTTTGGAGAATGTTTCAGAGCTAACAAGAGTTCCCTCAAATTCACAGCGTGGGCTAAATTCCACATTTCATCCATCGTGCGTGATTGGACAGTTGGCTCTGTTCTCCACCTTGTTATTGATGTTCTCTCAAGTGTGATCTCTATTCATTCTGTCTTATTGTATTGTAGAACATCGATCTGCACGCACTCACTGGCTGGATCCCAGAGCGTATCGCCATGCATTCAGACAATCAATCGTTCAGCAAGGACGACACCTTCCGCATGCTCTACCAGAGGTGAGACACACACACACATTAATTCACCCATGCACACACACTTAAGGGGCTACATGGTCAATCTGCTATGTAGAATTCACACACATACAGTACACACGAAGAGCTATATGACTCAGATTCTTACACATTTTAAATACTTTATTTGAATCCACAAACCATATTACATTTGCAAAAAGATACACACACACTGAGTAATGCCACTAATCCATCCTCCAGTCAGGTAGTGATTTGTCATGATTACCTTTGCTGCCAGATGGTAATAAACATGGTTATCAATACCACAGAGTTTTGTTTCCTAGCCAAGATAGCTGTCCATCTCTCACATCTCCCTCCTCTCATGACAGGTTTCACCGGGGCGACGTCCTAATCACCACGGCAACGGGGGTTATGACAGAGGAGGAGGGCGAGAGGTGGGGCCTTGTGCCAACGCATGCCTACGCTGTCCTGGATATCCGGGAGCACAAAGTAAGTGTTAGTGTTAACGTAGCATAACCACTCATAGTTGTTACAGTAGCTTGTTAGCATAACCACTCATGGTTGTTACAGTCGCTTGTTAGCGTAACCACTCATAGTTGTTACAGTAGCTTGTTAGCGTAACCACTCATGGTTGTTACAGTAGCTTGTTAGCATAACCACTCATGGTTGTTACAGTAGCTTGTTAGCATTACCACTCATAGTTCTTACAGTAGCTTGTTAGCATAACCACTCGTGGTTGTTACAGTAGCTTGTTGGCATAACCACTCATAGTTAGTATAGCATGCTGTGTTTTATTTGTATCTGGTCAATTCCATTTAATGTCTTTTAATTTTTGTATTTTATTAGGATCCCCGTTAGCTGTTGCAAAAGCAGCAGCTACTCTTCCTGGGGTCCACACAAAACATGAAACATGACATAATACAGAACATTGATAGACAAGAACAGCTAAAGGACAGAACTACATATATATTTTTTAAAGGCACAGGTAGCCTACATATCAATATATACACACAAACTATCTTGGTAAATAGGGGAGAGGTGTTGTGCCATGAGGTGTTGCTTTATCTGTTTTTTGAAACCAGGTTTGCTGTTTATTTGAGCAATATGAGATGGAACGGAGTTCCATGCAATAATGGCTCTATATAATACTGTACGCTTTCTTGAATTTGTTCTGGATTTGGGGACTGTGAAAAGACCACTGGTGGCATGTCTGGTGGGGTAAGTGTGTGTGTCAGAGCTGTGTGTAAGTTGACTATGCAAACAATTTGGGAGTTTTAATGTTTCTTATAAAAAGAATTGAGACAGTCAGTCTCTCCTCAACTCTTAGCCAAGAGAGACTGGCATGAATAGTATATATATCAGCCCTCTGATTACAATGAAGAGCAAGACGTGCCGCTCTGTTTTGGGCCAGCTGCAGCTTAACTAGGTCTTTCCTTGCAGCACTCGACCACACGACTGGACAATAATCAAGATAAGACAAAACTAGAGCCTGCAGAACTTTGTAACTTTGCGCATCATTAATAGTGTTCTGCCTGCATGCTAAGCTTCTTTGCCATTTGATCTGGCTCTCAGGGGAAGCGGTTCCTGCAGCTGAAGAACCCGTGGAGCCACCTGAGGTGGAAAGGCCGCTTCAGTGAACGGGACGAGAAAAACTGGACCCCAGAACTTCTCAAATACCTCAACTTTGACCCCAAGACCGCACAGAAGTTTGATAACGGCGTGTTCTGGATCACGTTTGAGGACCTGTGCCAGTACTATGATGTCATCTACCTGAGCTGGAGCCCCGCCCTGTTCAGAGAGTCTTCCTGTATCCACAGGTCAGTCAACAACAGCCCTCTTCTATCTCCCACAAGGGTCTGCTATACCTCTAACTAACTACTATACAGTGCATTCATAAAGTATTCAGACCCCTTGACCTTTTCCACATTTTGTTACGTTACAGCCTTATTCTAAAATGGATCAAATAGGTTTTTTCCTCATCAATCTACACACAATACCCCATAATGACAAATCAAAAACAGGTTTTAGACATTTTTGCAAATGTAGTACAAATTAAAACCGGAAATATCACATTTACATAAGTATTCAGACCCTTTACTCAGTACTTTGTTGAAGCACCTTTGGCAACGATTACAGCCTCGAGTCTTCTTGGGTATGATGCTACAAGCTTGGCACACCTGTATAGCTGCACAGCTATTTTCAGGTCTCCAGAGATGTTCGATCGGGTTCAAGTCTGGGCTTTGGCTGGGCCACTCAAGGACATTCAGAGACCTGTCCCGAAGCCACTCCTGTGTTGTCTTGGCTGTGTGCTTAGGGTCGTTGTCCTGTTGGAAAGTGAACCTTCGCCCCAGTCTGAGGTCCTGAGCGCTCTGGAGCAGGTTTTCATCAATGATCTCTCTGTACTTTGCTTGGTTAATCTTTCCCTCGATCCTGACTAGTCTCCCAGTCCCTGCCGCTGAAAAACATCCCCACAGCATGATGCTGCCACCACCATGCTTCACCGTAAGGATGGTGCCAGGTTTCCTCCAGGCGTGATGCTTGGCATTCAGGCCAAAGAGTTCAATCTTGGTTTCATCAGACCAGAGAATCTTGTTTCTCATGGTCTGAGAGTCCGTTAGGTGCCTTTTTGGCAAACTCCAAGCTGGCTGTCGTGTCTTTTACTGAGGAGTGGCTTCCGTCTGGCCACTCTACCATAAAGACCTGATTGGTGGAGTGCTGCAGAGGTGGTTGTCCTTCTGGAAGGTTCTCCCATCTCCACAGAGGAACTCTGGAGCTTCTTGGTCACCTCCCTGACCAAGGCCCTTCTCCCCCGATTGCTCAGTTTGGCCAGGCGGCCAGCTCTAGGAGGAGACTTTGTGGTTCCAAACTTCTTCCATTTAAGAATGATGGAGGCCACTGTGTTCTTGGGGACCTTCAATGCTGCAGACATATTTTGGTAGCCTTCCCCAGATCTGTGCCTCGACACAATCCTGTCTCAGAGCTCTATGGACAATTCCTTTGACCTCATTGTTTGGTTTTTGCTCTGACATGCACTGTCAACTGTGGGACCTTATATAGACACAGGTTTTTTTTTCATGTCCAATCAATTGAATTTACCACAGGTGGACTCCAATCAAGTTGTAAAAACATCTCAAGGATGATCAATGGAAACAGGATGCACCTGAGCTCAATTTTGAGTCTCATAGCAAAGGGTCTGAATAATATATTTCAGTTTCTTTGCAAAACATTCTTAAAACCTGTTTTCGCTTTGTCATTATGGGGTATTGTGTGTAGCTTTTATGAGGATTTTTATTAATTTAATCCATTTTAGAATAAGGCTGTAACGTAACAAAATGTAGAAAAAGTCAAGGTGTCTGAATACTTTCCAAATGCACTGTATGTGTATAAAAACTACACACGTATGATATGTTAAGTATATTTGTGGTTGTGTGTGTCCCTGCAGTAGCTGGGATGGGAAGCAGGGCCCGGTGAAGGATGCCTACAGCCTGGCCAACAACCCTCAGTACCAGCTGGAGGTGACCTGTCCTGCAGGGGGCACTGCTGTCTGGGTGCTGCTTACCAGACACATCACTGACAAGGTGCACACACCATCTGTCTGGCTGTCCACCACCACGCAGTATCAGACAATGTCTCATTTTCTCCCATAGAAACAATAATCACTCTGTTTTTGTCCTTTTGATGTTCAGGACGACTTTGCACAAAATCGGGAGTTCATCACCTTGGTGGTTTACAAGACCGAGGGAAAGAAAGTTTACTACCCTGGTGAGTTTCTCATGGAAATATGTGTGTGTCTGTGTGTGTTTCCTCTCTGACTGTCTGGTATGTTCCTCCTCAGCGGACCCTCCCCCCTACATAGATGGGATCAGGATCAACAGCCCCCACTACCTGACCAAGATGAGACTAACCAGCGCTGGAACACACACCTTCACACTGGTGGTGTCACAGTACGAGAAGCAGAACACCATCAACTACACCCTGAGGGTGAGACTAACACACACATATTGTGGCAGGTACATCTCCTGTCAGATCTGTCGCTGGCAGGCAAACACTGCGATCCTGTTGTACTGCGGTGCAGAAATGAGCATATAGCATGCCTCAAGCATCTCACAGTAGAGCGTGAGAAAAGAGAGTGGGATGGTGAAGAAGAAGCAGGAGGAGGAGGAGTGGGGGAAGATGGAGTGGGGGAAGATGGAGTGAGGGCTCATGAGATGAAGAGAAGAGAGAAAATAGGAAAGTGTCTTGTTCCACTTAATGAGTGTCAAGTGTACATACATATACTGTACACACAAGCAATATAAAACTAGATCTGGTGTTTCAGAATATGATGTAGAATTATACATGAAGCAGCCTCCTTTGTCCTCTAGTCTGAGTGTGTTGAGTGAGTGTACGCGCATGCGTGTGTTCATATCCATGCAGATTGAGTCTTAAATTAAGTGTGCAAATTATTTAATTAGAAACAGTTCTGTATCAGAACCCACTTGCAGAACTGTGAAATCAGTTGACAGAGAGCTTGTGAGTTTGTCTGCGTGTGTGAAAGAGAGATGGAGAGGGAAAGACTTTCTGTTGGTTTGTATATGAATGAGAGAGGATTTATGTTCTGTATGTGACCCACACATTGTTTTTGCTCATTTATATTTCATAAACTCCCCTTGTCAACTGAGCTGAAGTCTTTGAGGAGCTGGTATCTGAAGTCTCACAAAAACAACATATTTGGCCTCTGTAGAAGAGAAGAAACACAGAGTAGTTGCATGTGTCTTTCTGAGAATGAAAGAGAGAAGCAAATTACCAGAGGAATATATCTAGCCTGGACTGGCAAGCAGCAAACTGGCTGTGAAATCAATGCCTGCACACCCTCACTTCTTTAAAAATCATCTGGAGAATTAGTGAATTGACATTGTCTCATACTCAGAGTTCTCATGAGGTACGGAAGGAACATGATTTCTTCCATCTGTATAAGAGCTGGCCGGTATTCTTCCTTGAGTTTCTTCCTGATGTTTCTATGTTGTGCTGATCACATCCCTGCTCATTCAGTTCCAACAGAGTAATAGACGTTTCCCTCCAACAGGTGTACTCTGGATGCAAGTTCTCCTTCTCCAAGATCCCAACGCCCTTCACTCATACCAAACGGGTAACGTTTACTTCCACTTGTCTCTTTCTTGTTCACATTCTCTCAATTCAATGAGTTTTATTGGCATGATAACAAAATCACCATCTTACATTGCTAAAGCCCCCCCCCCTCTCCCTGTGCAGATCAATGGCCAGTGGAAGGGGCTGAGTTCAGGGGGCTGTGGGAACTACAAGGACTCGTACAAGCACAACCCAATCTACCAGTTTAACCTGGAGCGCCCAGGACCCATGCTCATAGAGCTACGAGGCTCCAGGTAAGACTCACTGAGGCCTGCAGGGGCCCTCCACACTACTGGGGGCACTACACCCAGTGGGGACACTGCTTATGGCCCAATCCCAATGGATGGATATAAAATGGGTTCCATTGAAATGAATGTCCTCTTGTAACACAGCACTTTTAATACTCGAGTGTTCATCCTGTCCGTCACTGCAGACTGCAGAATTACTGCAAAATGACTACAATGCAAAACTGAAATAATATGCATGGTCTGCATTGTCTCTGACAGTCTGACTCCAATGATACTTTGTCACGGCACATCCAGGAAAATTAGAGCCGTCACAGAATACGATTGCCTGGTGTAAATGTGACCAGACAGACTAAGTCCGTTTCCAGTGTTACTACACTCCCTTAGGTCATCCTAAGGGCGGCAGGTAGCTTAGTGGTTAAGAGCGTTGTGCCAGTAACCGAAAGGTCGCTGGTTCTAATCCCCGAGCCGACTAGGTGAAAAATCTGTCGATGTGCCCTTGAGCAAGGCACTTAACCCTAATTGCTCCTGTAAGTCGCTCTGGATAAGAGCGTCTGCTAAATGACCAATTATTATTATTATTATTTATCCTGTAGGGGTCATCTTTAATGTTCATCTGGTGCTCCTAATTAAAACGGAGAAAGACTCACTAATGAGATGACTCACTCTCTCCCTCCAGTCTACAGTCATTAGCACTGCTAACTAAATGCTCTCGCTTTCTCTCTCACTCTCTGTCACACATCATCATCCACTCTCATAAACACACACACCAGCTAGGATGACTCAGTCACTGCATTTCCCCACCACTGTGATGGATTCTATATTCAGCCACGCACAGAGCACCGGAACGCTCCTTTTATCCCCTGCTCTCTCTCCCTCACCCGTTCCCGTTCTGTCTAGTAGAAAAATGATTATTCTCTCTCTATCCTTTATGGATGTGTAATGCGTTGGTGCTGTATTGTACTGGCCTACCAATAATCTGACATGTGTAGCTGTTACGTGGTTCTGCCTCTCCCTCTCTTCCTCCATAGGCAGTATAGCGTAGGTTCTGGTCGCTTGTGTTGTTATTGTTGATATGTCTCTCCCTCCCTCTCTAGGCAGTACAGTGTGGGCTTCAGTTAGTTATTGACAACATTACTCCAATTAGGGGAGGGGTGGTAGGGTTAGGGGAAAATAATAAAAAGGAACATATAAAAAAAAAATGCATATTTAAAATAATATATTTTATAATATAAAATATTATATATATTATAAAATAATAAATAAATAAATAAATAAAAAATATATATATGGGGGATTGGAAATGATGCAGACAATTACATTGATAGAAGCCACAATCTATCTGCAATATTAAAGCTGATCTACCCCCGCTGTCTCTCCCTCTACAGGCAGTACAGTGTGGGCTTTGAGATGGTGACCGTGTCCACTGTAGTAGAGCCAGGGCCTGCAGGCCTTCCGAAGAGGAACAGTGGAGACTACAGGTAATCACCCAGGATACACAGGAGGAAAACGCAGCACAGGAGATTGAGCTGATAGTGTGTTTGTCTGAGGTGTTCAGGAACAGCACATAGTGTTGAGTTCAGTATCGATCCTAATATTAACCCTTTACACTCATTGGCCTATTTAGAATGTAAATGTAAATATTTCTTAAAGAAGAGTTATGGAAAGCATATGCATAACAATGGTAGCAATTAAAAGGGAACAGTTTGGAGATGGGACATTTTATTAGACTAAAGGTGAGGACACAACAGTTCACCTGACACAAGACATTACACTGTTGATTTTATGTGCATTTTACCGCATTTGTTGATAACAACATTTGAAACTCTGGATACATTCAGTCACATAAGAATATTATTGGAAAATGGGGTAGGTACAACATAAGACAAAGAAATGACAAGGGTTTGAGTGAGAGGTCAAACTGGTGTCTCCAAGTGGCCACACACCTCTCCAATGTGTGCACAGTTCCTAAGTCATTTCAATGCACTTTTATGACTTAAGTCTTCAACTACAAGGTGCTTTTTTGAGCTCTCCTAGCTGTGTTGTTGAGGAACTAGAGCAAGCACACTTGTAGCTGTTTTGTTTTGAACACAACCCTGCATCCCCGCCATCACACAATTACTGTTGTTGTTTACGCAATCCAAAAACGGTCCATTATAAATCACAATCTGGGTCAGGTGGGCATCATTAAATTATAAAATACGATCTTACAGTAGGCTTTCACAAGCCAATTCAGAGAAGCAAATTGTAATTTTGGTGCGCATAGAATGGAGTCATGAGTGCATTCAAATGCGTGGTTGGCAACCCCAAACAGGCTCATTCTGTTCAGGACAACCCATGGTATAATACCATCTTGGAACTGTACATCAAACATAGTGATCATAAACGTTGACACTGTATATTACATAACTATATCATATGGTAATGAAGTGCGCATTTGGACTCACGGGTGATTGGCTTGCTTGTATGACATCAAAGCGGTATTTATTATAATCCTCAACGTTTTAGCTTTCAAAATACATAGTCCTCTTAATTTACAGCATTTCCCTCACTCAGACATCATTTTTTTGGGGCCAATTAGTGGAAAGAATGGGGGCAACTTCTTGTCGCGCGCAGCGCTCAAGTTCCAAACGGCTCGGTCAAAACCCATACAGCGCTGTGAAGCGGAGACTGAGCTCTGACGTCATGTATAGCATGTTACTGTACAGCCACTGCATTCCAATTTAGGAGCTTATCAGTGTCCAAATTGGCCATTTTCAACCCGTTTACGGGTACGAGTATAAAGGGCTAAATAGGAACAATTGTAAATATTTTCCTACTGTCAAACTCTGAGCTTGTTTAACTCCAATGTTGGTAACATTATAAATGTAAACTTGAAGCTCTCAACCTGCTCCACGACAGCCCCGTCGATGAGAACGGGGGCGTGCTCGGTCCTCTTCCTTTTCCTGTAGTCCACAATCATCTCCTTTAGTCTTGAACACGTTGAGGGAGAGGTTGTTATCCTGGCGCCACACGGCCAGGTCTCTGACCTCCTCCCTATAGGCTGTCTCATTGTTGTCGGGGATCAGGCCTACCACTGTTGTGAGTTAGCCCGGTTCAAAGGATAATTGGGGCTGTGAGGGTGTACTGAAATTAGTCTTACTGCACATTTACACAAAGGAATGCCTTGAGTTAGATATTTTGACAAAGGCTATGCAATGTGTGTGTCTGAAATGATTATTCTGAAATAATTGAAGTGAAGATATTCATAACATTTTCTTCACATTTAGACCATGTACTTGTTATCAGTATAAAAGACACCTGTCCACAACCTCAAACAGTCACACTCCAAACTCCACTATGGCCAAGACCAAAGAGCTGTCAAAGGACACCAGAAACAAAATTGTAGACCTGCACCAGGCTGGAAAGACTGAATATGCAATAGGTAAGCAGCTTGGTTTGAAGAAATCAACTGTGGGAGCAATTATTAGGAAATGGAAGACATACAAGACCACTGATAATCTCCCTCGATCTGGGGCTCCATGCAAGATCTCACCCCGTGGGGTCAAAATGATCACAAGAACGGTGAGCAAAAATCCCAGAACCACACGGGGGGACCTAGTGAATGACCTGCAGAGAGCTTGGACCAAAGTAACAAAGCCTACCATCAGTAACACACTACGCCGCCAGGGACTCAAATCCTGCAGTGCCAGACGTGTCCCCCTGCTTAAGCCAGTACATGTCCAGGCCCGTCTGAAGTTTGCTAGAGTGCATTTGGATGATCCAGAAGAGGATTGGGAGAATGTCATATGGTCAGATGAAACCAAAATAGAACTTTTTGGTAAAAACTCAACTCGTTGTGTTTGGAGGACAAAGAATGCTGAGTTGCATCCAAAGAACACCATACCTACTGTGAAGCATGGGGGTGGAAACATCATGCTTTGGGGCTGTTTTTCTGCAAAGGGACCAGGACGACTGATCCGTGTAAAGGAAAGAATGAATGGGGCCATGTATCGTGAGATTTTGAGTGAAAACCTCCTTCCATCAGCAAGGGCATTGAAGATGAAACGTGGCTGGGTCTTTCAGCATGACAATGATCCCAAACACACCGCCCGGGCAACGAAGGAGTGGCTTCGTAAGAAGCATTTCAAGGTCCTGGAGTGGCCTAGCCAGTCTCCAGATCTCAACCCCATAGAAAATCTTTGGAGGGAGTTGAAAGTCCGTGTTGCCCAGCGACAGCCCCAAAACATCACTGCTCTAGAGGAGATCTGCATGGAGGAATGGGCCAAAATACCAGCAACAGTGTGTGAAAACCTTGTGAAGACTTACAGAAAACGTTTGACCTGTGTCATTGCCAACAAAGGGTATGTAACAAAGTATTGAGAAACTTTTGTTATTGAACAAATACTTATTTTCCACCATAATTTGCAAATAAATTCATTAAAAATCCTACAATGTGATTTTCTGGATTTTTTTTTCTCATTTTGTCTGTCATAGTTGACGTGTACCTATGATGAAAATTACAGGCCTCTCTCATCTTTTTAAGTGGAGAACTTGCACAATTGGTGGCTGACTAAATACTTTTTTTCCCCACTGTACCATCTTGTAACTGTACATCAAACATAGTGATCATAAACGTTGACACTGTATATTACATAACTTTTATCATATGGTAATGTGAAGTGCGCATTTGGACTCATGGGTGTTTGGCTTGCTTGTATGACATCAAAGCGGTATTTATTATAATCCTCAACGTTTTAGCTTTCAAAATACATAGAGTCCTCTTAATTTTCAGCATTTCCCTCACTTGGGCAACTATTTTTTTGGGCCAATTAGTGGAAAGAATGGGGGCAACTTCTTGTCGCGCGTAGCGCTCAAGTTCCAAATGGCTCGGTCAAAACCCATACAGAGCTGTGAAGCGGCGACTGAGCTCTGACGTCATGTATAGCATGTTACTGTACAGCCACTGCGTTCCAATTTAGGCACTTATCAGTGTCCAAATTGGCTATTTTCAAGCCGTATACGGGTACTAGTATAAAGGGCTAAATAGGAACTATAGTAAATATTTTCCTACTGTCAAACTCTGAGCTTGTTTAACTCCAATGTTGGTAACATTATAAATGTAAACTTGAAGCTCTCAACCTGCTCCACTACAGCCCCGTCGATGAGAATGGGGGCGTGCTCGGTCCTCTTCTTTTTCCTATAGTCCACAATCATCTCCTTTTGTCTTGAACACGTTGAGGGAGCGGTTGTTATTCCTGCCACCACACGGCCAGGTCTCTGACCTCCTCTCTATAGGCTGTCTCATCGTTGTCGGGGATCAGGCCTACCACTGTTGTGAGTTTACCCGGTTCAAAGGATAATTAGGGCTGAGGGTGTACTGAAATTAGTCTTACTGCACATTTACACAAAGGAATGCCTTGAGTTAGATATTTTGACAAAGGCTATGCAATGTGTGTGTCTGAAATGATTATTCAGAAATAATTGAAGTAAAGATATTCATAACATTTTCCTCACATTTAGACCATGATTGTTGATTATGCATTATTATCCTGTGGATGAGGTTAAAGCAGGTTAAATTTGTATTCAATAGCAGATAGTCATTCAGAATCTGCTCTGCTATTGAACACAAATGTTATGCAGTTTTGGTGGGTAATGAAATATGAAACCGAATGTCCAGAAATGGATGTTGGTAACAACTCATTATGAAGGAATGGAGATTAGAAAGGGTGCTATTTGAGACTATTGAGACACAGCCATAGTGACCCCCCCCCTCTCTCCCTCTCTCTCTGTAGGTGTGGTTTCTGCTACATGGAGGCAGACCATGTCCCCGCTGGCATCTACAACGTCATCCCCACCACCTTCCTGCCCAAACAGGAAGGACCCTTCTTCCTGGACTTCAGCAGTGCCACGCCCCTAAAGGTCTCCCAGCTCCAGTAAGGAGAGGGGGAAGGATTTGGGGGTGACACCAGGAATAACTTGCCCACAACATGGACACTCACTGTTCCCTAAACTCTGGGTGGAACTTGTTACAACTGCAGGAGGACCAAAAAGAGAGACAGACTGACTATTTTATTGGGCTACAGCGGAGTTCCATTCCAAAAACATGTTCCCTTTCTATTTCCCTTGAGTCCCGTTGGAATCTGAAATGACTGGATAGGCGAAAGCAGTGTGGAAGGCACTTTGTGGAAGGATATATGCAGTTATTACCATATTGCTCTCACCTATCCAGTCTGAGAGCATTGTGGTCCTCTGTAGAGCATGGCGCTTGTAACGCCATGGTAGTGGGTTCGATCCCCGGGACCACCCATACGTAAAAATGTATGCACACATGACTAAGTCGCTTTGGATAAAAGCATCTGCTAAATGGCATATTATTAATACAGATCTGCAAGGGAGTTTATCAAGGGTATTTGGAAAGGGACATGTTTTTGGTATGGAACCTAGCCCTCTGTGCTGAAGGGTGTGCAAGAACATGTACCAAATAATAAACTGACTGAGTAGTAACTATCAGAGCTAATGTTGGAGGTGCTTCCTTCCTCCTTTGCCATAATGACATACAGTATATTTTTATAAATGATGTCACAACTATTCACTGTACTATGGCCCTTATGATTTTGAATGTTTCATTACTTGGCGCTTGTTGACCGCCAGTCTAGGTACTCAAGAGGCAGTGCTGGTATTTACCAAGAACGAAGGGGGACGTTCTCGACTGCAACGGTCTTTTTCTCAGGAGACCGCACCACGACAGGGATTTCTTTGTTGCACAGGCATGAAGATGTCATTATTTCATCAGTGGAACTGCTAGAATTCTAAGGGCTGATCTCTGGCATTTAGAAGGATGTGTGACACAGGCATGCAGGACGTGTGTGTAGGGTTGCAAAATTCTAGGAACTTTCAATAAATTCCAGATTTTTGGAATCTTCCAACTGGGATTTTATATGTTGCCGGAATTTTGCAACCGTGTGTGTGTACTGACGTGAAAACAACATTTGAAACGGATCTCCTGTTTACACTTCAGCTAGGACTTGAGCACTTCACAGCGGTTTCTCCTTCTCTGTTAACATTGTGTCAAACAGGCAAGACTGCTAGTGGCTTTGTCCTTTTCTGGACAATTACTGTAAAGTGTCATTGCTATACAAAGGACAGCATGGACTTACTAGAAGAGGAGTCACCCGTACCATGTACACTTATTTTGCATTGGCAAAATGGCTGCTCTTTGTCATTTCATTTTTCTTTACGTAGAATTACATTTATGTTTTCTTCCCCCTCCAGTGACTGTTTAAAAAGGGCAACTGTTGCTGCCACTTATGTCAAATGCAATAGTACAATCGTGTGGCGGTCTGTTATGATTTTGCACAACTTGCACTAAATGTGGAATGATGTATTCAAACATGGCATTGAAGGAAATCAGAAAATGTGTTGTCTTTGGTTTGGTGCAGATCTGGCCTCTCTCCTGTCTGAGAGCATTTGAAAACAGAGTGTGTTGCGTGGGCAACAGCTGGTCACAACCTCTGAGAATCACAGGGCAGAAAGACCAACTACCAGGCCTGAGGGAGGGAGAGGAGGAGAAACGGAGACAGGGAAGTGCAGTAACGAGAGGGAGAGAACAAAACAATCGTTTAGGTGAAAGGCGGGGATTTAACCCCAGAGCCAGATTTGGCAACTGACAAATACTGCTAAATCGAGTGTCTGATGAACAAGAGAGGAAAGCAAATATGAAGAGAACTGAAAACCAGTTAAACGTTTGTTAGTGTGAACAGGATCCTATAATCTAGTTCTGTGCCGTCTTGCCACTTGGCTTAGCCGTGGCGAATGTCAAACCTGCTAACATTCTGAATCCTGTAGCCCTACAGTCAGCAGCACATGGCTTATACGTCAATAGGGAAACCCAGCACAGACAAGAGTGTGGTACTTAGACTGTGGTTAATCATGTTAAGGTTTGCCAAAGAGGAGCCAGAGTGATGTAAACAACCTGCAAGAAAGCAATGATCTGCTTGTTGTTTTTTTGCAGTAGGCTAGCTGCAGCGATTAAATAGCTATTTTGACTTAAAGCCAGTAAGACAAAGAAATATCAGTATAGCCTAGTCAAAGTTATCGAGTCAGATTAGCTACAGACTACCCTGGGTCAATTACTGTATAGGGTTCTGACAGACATCTAAAAAACATTGACATGTTTTTATATAATGACTTTTACATCTCTGCCTGGAATTTGGGTCAATGGGTCACTTACCAAATACGATCTTGAGTTTGGTTGACCAAAGAACTTCAGGCTAGTGAGAAACAGACAAAAGGTTAGTTGATCAACATTGCAGTTAGAACATAAGAAATGAACATAGGCTTACTGCAGTGAACATCAGTTTATTTGATTATTTTCTGAAAACAGGCACATAATCTGTGGAGACACAATGGAAAGTTACTCTACCATTACAAGACCCACTGGAAAAAAACAGCTATGAGAAAGACTGTTCGTGGTTATATCCTTATATTCCACACCAGAGGGTGGCACAGAGAGATAAACATCGATATAACATTACATTTGTACACATACAGTACATACATAGACTGGAGCGATCACAAGAACAAAGACTGCATACTCTTGTGCAATAGCTTACTATTCTCATCTTAACTCAGTGACCAAATACCTTTCCCATGTGGCCATGGAATATAAGGAGACCAGGAGAGGAAGCCAATTTAACACTATTTGAAACATCCGACAGTCTACTGCGGGCCACTTTAGCCAACATGGATCTACAACAGTAGCTGATACTGTCCACCAGAAATCTCAACACTCACTCTATCAATTATTCTGTCAGTTTCCACAAAAGGCCTCAACATTCTTCGCCACAATCAGTTTAATTCAGTTTCACTTTCTCCTCAATATTGGTCTAAGACAAAACCATCATCAGATTCTGAGAATTACCAGGCTGGCCATTTTCATTCTGTTACAGAGAACTCTATGTGAAAGTGTCCATGGGCAGATATGGTTATCCAAAGTTTTGTCCTTGCGCTATTGCTCAGTTCTTAGTGTTACTGTCTGTGGGTGGAGGTTGTCCCTCAGTCCAGGGCCATTGGGGATGCCATGACAGGGAGATGGATGGAGGGAGGGCTAGGGGGGGGTTGACTGTCTGGAGGCCCATTTCCCTGGTACCACATCAGTGTGGCACTGATGAAACACAGGATGGAGGGAGAGAGCCAGGAGGAAGAGAGGAGGGGTATATCTACCGTAGCCTCACCGCACACAATTATTCTACTCTCGTTCAATCAGATTCCAAGTCCAGCTTTATGAGTACTGTAGGCGAGATGGATTCACATTTAGATCACTGGGAAATGTGTTGTGCAATAGAATACAGTTCTTTTAAGTCCAATTCTGATGACCCCTATTGGACAAATGCATGGGCTGTCCGAAGAGATGCCAGCCAGGGGTGGGTAGTGAGTGTTTGGTCATCATGGTAATATGAAGCAGTTGCCATAGCAACTATATGCCATACACAGGATTACATCGAGGTGAGAGTATTCACATATCAAGTATCTGTGAGAGGATATAGCAGAGTAATATCACAAGTTATGAGGGTTATTCACTCCGTAAATATACTTGTTCCTTTTTAGAAATCCTGAATTTAAATCCTGGCCTTATGTATGCTCTTCAATTACAAAAGCATAACACATATTGCTATCAATGTTGGATATGTTGTGTATTTTACTATGTTCTGTATTGGTAAAACATTCACTGTGACATCAAGTTTTATAAATAACACTCAATTTCTAATAGTCGAAGCTAGGAGCATATTCTTTAGTCTACGAACAACAGAAACGCATCTTGTCTGGAAGTGCAGCTCCCTCTCAGGGAGAATATCACAGTAAAAAACAACACTGTTTGTCCCATTTCCCCTCATATACCTTGGGCCCCCACCCTTAGGACGTTAGCCAGCACTGTCCTTAATGTGTGTGCAGTACAGGAGGGAATTATGGGAAGCCAATCTGACTGAGGACTCAAAGCTACGGGTGGGAGGTCAAAAGGTGAAAGGTCCTTTCTATAGGAAGTGGTGGTTTCATGAAATCACCCACCCTGGGTTGGGTCTTAGTCTCTTCTTCATCATGATCCATAGGAACTGTATATACACTGACCATTTAGTTCATAGTATCTCATACTGAGCCACTTTCTTTACTTAGCCAGTATTAGTTCACGGGGTAGAATGGAATGTGTGTGTGGTTACTGGCAATACAGCATGTTGGCACACAAAGCCGGTGATGGGGTTAGCTTTCCTCTTCACATCCCGTTGACCAGGACCACAGTTTGGGTGGGGGTCTGGGAACGGCTTTGGCGTTCGCGCTTGGCGTTCTTGGTGCTGTCGTTGCGCGAGCGTCGAAGAGACAGGAAGCTGAGGCGGCCCTCCAGGCCCATGGTCTTGTTGGTGTTTGGGACGGTGGTGCTCTTGTTGTTTACAGTATTGTCCAGCTCCCCCTCCGCTCCCTCTGCTCTCTCACCTGAAACACACAGACAGGTATGCTGTGTGAGCCTGGTCATGAATATCCTTTGTGAGTAGGAAGCCCTGCACACACACCCCGTAGACGATCATACCCAAGTCTTTTTCTAAAAGTTTCCACTATGTTAACCTTTCTCACTTGTCCAGAACCCTCCGCAGGCTCTTAGGGACCCAGCGGAGATTAGGATGTATCCCCCAGCAGTACTGCTAGCCTGTGGCTCTGCACCTGCTCTGGCCTAAGCACTAGGATAGCTGTCACAATGACTAATAGGCCTCTCCTCTGGCTCAGGTGTTAGTCAGACAGGTAGCAGAAGACGATATGTCTTACTGAAAATAAACACACACCATCAATCTCTCCTTTTTCACTTGTTTGCATATTTACACCTCATACAGTATGCAAACACACACACACACATACCTCTCTCCAGGTCACACTCAGGTGATGACGCCCCGCTACACTCGCTGCGTGGTCCCAGGACAGGCGAGATGAGGCCGAAGTCAGATAGCGAGACAGGGCGGGGAATGTCCAGACTGCAGGGGCGTGAGGAGGGAGCAGGGGAAGAGGAGGAGGAGGAGGAGGAAGAAGAGGAGGAGGAAGAGGAGGGGGGACAGGGCGAGGAGGAGAAGGAAGAGGAGGGGGGGCAGGGCGAGGGGAGGTCCTGGGGGCTGTTGGGGGAGTGGGAGGAGGAGCCCAGGCTGCAGGTGGAGTGGGTCTCTGAGTCCTCCTCTGACATGGCACTGCTGCTGCAGGTCTCATCCTCAAACGACTCAGACATCACTGCAGAGACAGAGAGAGGGGAAGAGTGGTTGAGATGTAACAAGCCTTTACTGTACAACTAAGGAGTGTATATGCAGAGCATCAATGTGGCATCCACAGAAAAACAAAATACAAAAGAGAGAAAACAGGAAGCTGGAGATTGAGGGTGAAGAGGTTTAGGTGAAAAAGGGAGAGAGAGGGGCCAAGGGTAAGGAACAGAGAGAAAGGGAGTAGGAAGAAAAAACAAAAAAGGGAGACAGACAGTGGGTAGAAGGGGGAGAGGGAGACTGCTTGAAATACTGCAGAGATCCTTTACACTGAAAGAAAGAGGGAGTGTAAAGACATACAGTACTTCAAGACAAATATGAGATCCATTTTCCGTGTAGGGGTCAAAGTCCCCAAATTCCAACATGGATGGCGAATGTATGAATGAAGGCATGTTTTCTATGACCTTGAACTATGTGCAATCGCAGATTCTTTTGTTTACTGCCATCGAGTTACAGTTTGAAACAGACACACTTTACTATATCTACTAAAAGACAAATCAGCAAATGTAGCATATTACTGTTTATTGCTGTTGCGCGTTAACCCACATAATCTCAGCCAATGGTGTCGGAGTGGGTCAGCCAGCAGTAGGTCTCTCAGGTTGCCATGGTAACATCATCCCGCAGCCCATAATGCAGGACAATGGGAAGTGGATCAGTGACACACACTGCTCTGAACAGCCACTCTCTTTGTCTGACTACAGTTGAGCCTCATCTCATCACAGTGTATATCTTCAGCACTTAACTGATTCAGGATCAGGTCTCATTACTCAAGTCCTAACCTTAACCATAGGAGCTTAAACAGTAAAGCTGTCTCTAGGCTAGTTGTTATTAAGACATGCATGGAATTTGGGTGCCATGAACGATGCCATGCAGGAAAGACCAAAACCATTTCCTTCAGCATAAAGAAAGACTTCAGTTAAGTATCTCTCCTTCAAATAAAGCATTGTGTGCCCAATGACCTTTGCAGAAGATCCCATGATATGACAACTTCACAAAGTCAATACAGGCATTTTAAATTCAACAGGAATTTCCTTTGAAAGAAGATTGAATTAAGACTTTTTTCAAAGAGCACATTTCTTCTAGGAATTCCTACAAAGGATTCGAAGAACAAGTCAGAGTGTCAACAGGGTGAGTATGCGTTTGCATGTGCCGTACCCAACTAATAGTGAAAAGTAGGCAATGCTGGCTGTTTAGCCTCACTATGTAGGACAGTTGTTCCAAGAACAGTTTCTGCAGTTTTCAAGCGCAGAAACTAAATGACCAGAACATCATGCACTGTAAGTGTACTCACTGGAGATGCCATCCGACTCCATCTTGAAGCTGGCAATGTCATCCCCGGCGACATTGTCGCCCTCGGCGCCCACGCCCCGCCCCCGGGGGCCCATGGCTGAGTTGCGTCGGCGTTCATGGATCTCGTCTGAGATCATCTCCAGGTTTCTCAGAGCCGTCTTGTACCCTTCTTTGGCCTGGCACAGCTTGGCCTGCAACTCATCCACGTTCTTCTTTAGGTGCTACAGACAGAAAGGGAGTCATTATTAGCATTAGCTTGGTATACACAGTTAAGGACACACACACACACACACACAAAGCCATCATTGCCATAAATGGTTTAGACCTGAGATGACATGGCAATATGTTCACGGTCAAAGTTTATTGACCTAGGTCACATCAGTAAAGATCTAACCATGGAGCAGAGTCCACAATAACAAGGCAATAATAGAACTCCTTAAATCTAAAATACCTTTAAAATGGTCTATGAAGGCAGGTAAATTACAGTGTAGTGTAGTGCACACATACCTCAAGCTGTAGGTAGTACTTTGCCTTCAACTCAAAGTAAGGTCTGCGAGAGAGAGGTCAATCAAAAAGAGAGGGAGGAAGGGAAAAAAAGATTAGAGGCGATGAAAACAACTTGGAATAGCTCTGTACATATCACCAAGGCAACAGGGTGAGCTATATGGCTATCACATTAGATGAGCTAACTGTGGAGAAAGGATTAGGCTGAGAGAGCTGAGGCAACACAGAGCAAGACGGATTCAGTCCCAAAACTCTAAAACTGGACTCTTTCCTCATCTCATCTTCATGACACTAATAGGTAGGAGGACTGGCTAGGTTTCAACCAAACTGATTACACATTTCAAGTACATGACCTGTGGTCATGACGGAAAGGAGACAAGGAAGCTTTTTAAGACTATATGGATTCACAACAGCCTCAGTCTCTCAGTCACAGCTGGGAAACATTAGAGACCCCCTACTCTACACTGTACACTCCCTCCCCAAAACAGGCCTCCAGTCTATGGAGTTTTGTAAAAACCTGACAGCATATACTAACCAGCACACCACCACATTGTCTCTCTTTGTGGTGCTATGAATAAAACAGCCACTGCTTCATCATCAAAGGTCGAAAATGACTCTTGCACCTTAATTGGGGAGGACAGGCTCGTGGTAATGGCTGGAGCGGAGTAAGTGGAATGGTATCAAATACATCAAACACATGGGTTCCATGTTTGATGCCATTCCATTCGTTCCTTTCCAGACATTATTATGAGCCGTCCTCCCCTCAGCAGCCTCCACTGTTGCACATTTATATTCGTTTTGTTCAAGTTGACCTTTTCCAAGCTACTGAAAAATCTATGTCATGAAAGATCAATGTCTTGGAAACGGTCACTGTCGACAAATAAACAGGGATTTGTGAATGTGTGTGTCGGAGACCATTTGATAATTGATGCAGTGGTTGTAGAAGATTCACTTTGACTTCTCAGTCTTTTAACTACAGTGCGATTTGGTTGTGGTCGCAATACGGTCATATGGGACTCACTTGGACTTGTTGATGGTGCGTTTGAGTTTCTTCTCCAGCTGCTTCATGCGGCCTATGGCTGCCGTGTACTTGGCTGCAGTCTCCTTGTGCACCAGCTCACTCCGCGTCTTCGTGTGATCCGCCTCCATCACCTGCAACAGCCAATCAGAACTCAGTCTGGCAGCTACACAGAAATGCGACAACGTGACTTCCTAACTTGTGAAACATCGATTTCCATCCACATTATGCCTCAAACCTTTGAATAGTAACATTCAGGTGTCAAATTTCGGTTTGATAGACAGTCATGCTGCATTAATGCCCCCCGCAGAATCCCATTCCCTCCATGCAGTACGGTACTCACCCTCTGGGTGGCGTGGTTGAGCATCTCCTGCCAGGCTGAGTCAAACTGCCTGGTGTCCTCCTCCAGCAGCCTCTGCTCTGCCAGGGCGATGGTCTCCTTGGCAGCCCCCAGCACCTCCGTGGCCCTCTGGAAGTCCTGGGTGGCTCTCTGGGCCTCCAGCTGAGCCTGGGCAATGGGTAGAGCGACACCACGTCAGATATGCACTGAGATCAGCCACAGAACCAGACCTTCACTTGGTCTCCTGCAGAATCTGCACAACGGATGGGATGAGACCCTATCAGACACACTTCAGGACTGGGTCTCTAGCTGGGCCTGGACAATGGGTAGAGTGACAGCCCGCCAGACGGGCACCGCAACAGGCCATGACACTCTGCCGCCAGCCAAGTTCTCTCTCACCATAAAATATTATGTGGGCCATGTCTGGCCATCAGTGTTGAACCCCTGCCCCTACTGCCAGCTGGCCCATGCCCATACTAGGCCAAATCCTTGATCTGTACACCTCAAGAGAACTCTTTCCTCTTGCAGGAAATTAATGATGAGCTCTTCAGTCAAGAAACTACTATATCCAGTGTCTCTATATAACTACAATGTAAGCACTTCTCATGAAATGCTGTTTTTAAAAACAAGAGACACACAAAACCTTCAGCTCAAACATTGACAGGAATAAACCAAATCAGCTGTTGAGTCAGCATGGAAAATAGCAACTAGGCGTAATAACAAACAAATCACCAAAGGTCCTTGTGACAGACTATGGAAACACGCCAAACACTGTCTTGTATATAAGATGTTCCTAACATCAAAAGGACTCATTTCGGAGAAAACACAGAAAGGTCATGACGGCATGACGTATGGTAGTATAAGCACAAAGTATAGCTGCAACGTCTCATTTGACACTTACTGTATACAGCGGGGGAAGAGCTTTAGGGCTCAAAGACCTCACAGCTAATATAATTATTGTCAAACACTTCACACCTGTCTGTGTGTCTCTCTGTGTGTGTCTGTCTGTGTGGCTGTCTGTGTGTCTCTCTGTGTGTGGCTGGCCGGGTGTAACAAGGCTCAACATCTTGTTTTCCCCTTGGTATCTATTGATACTATCAGAAGGTATCAGTAACATCCAGCTTTGTTTTAACACATCCCTCCCTACCCACTCTGAATGTTCTGTTCTGAGGTCAACCAAAACATCGTAGACTGCTGCCAGAGAGAACATACAAGTATTACTACTTTTCTCTCTGTGCATATTTTAGCCCAACCGGGTCACATAGTAACAGAAACTCCAAAACAGTTCCCTCCTCCAGCCTCAGTTATGGTAAGGTACAGTACAAAGCGGAAGCTTACCGTAGCTTAGACTTCCCATGTGTGTGTGTGTTGCCATAGCTGCAGAGCTAATCCTTCCTCATTTATCCACTTTTCCTCTCTAATCTGTCAGTCATAGCAACTGACAGAAACCCCCTGTAGCTAGCGCTAATACCCTAAGCCCCTCTCTGTTCTGTGGGTACCAGTAAAGCATCAACTCAAGGCTTTGCCCCAAACCCACCAATAGCATGTCTAGGGAAGGTGATTTACTGTATCTGTGTGGGCACGAGTGTGTGTGTGGTGTGTGTGTAAATTTACTGTAGAGGCTAAATATCATTCAGACGTTTTACAGTAAGGATGATAAAACGTTACTGATCTGCCAAAAAACTAAATCCCAACTCGCTTCCGCTTATCATAGAATTTCCAAACAAAGTAGCGTTACTTTTGTTAAGTTTGACTAGTTTGGGAGGAAGTGAAGGTAGATATACACTGACATGTCTCCTTGGCTGCAAGCAACTTATGAATAAGTCACAGCAGAGAAAAGTTCCAACAGAATCTCATGTGAATAGGGATTCTACTGACCTAATTTAAGTGAGGAACACATTGAGTCACCCCAAAGAAAACAAACTTCAATTAAATGAAGTAATTAAATAATAATAATTAGTCATTTAGCAGACGCTCTTATCCAGAGCGACTTACAGGAGCAATTAGGGTTAAGTGCCTTGCTCAAGGGCACATCGACAGATTTTTCACCTAGTCGGCTCAGGGATTAGAACCAGTATGGAGCAGTATGTGGTATACCTCAAGACTCTACTAGATAAGGATCTGCAAGCCAAGATATTCCATTTTTTAGACAACAACATCCCATTCCCTACAATGGTAATTTGATTAGCCTTCCAAATGCCAACTCAGCACGAACTAAACAACCTCTGCCTTGTGGTGATCACACAACCCATTCACAGACCTTCACATGACATGGATGGGCTTGGCGTACACATACGAGAGAGTTGAGTCCAACCACATGCTAACCAATGTCTATCACTTCACTGTATGGATGAGTCATGAGTTTGAATGCCGAGGAATTCAACTGGGGCCTTTCTTTCACAAAATGGTTGTCACGTTGTTCACGAGTCTTGCTACCTACGCTCTCATTCAGACAACTCTCTCCCTCGCACTGTAAGCACATTCAGTGATCTACTTTAAAATCACTCGGCATAATTGTTTTCCCACTAACCCCAACAAACAGACTACATGCTGAGAAAACATGCCCCACTCCCAGGAACACCCTATGTGCTTTCTGTATCCAGTGTTGTCCACTTAATGTAATACAGTAGGAATCATCTCAGGAGAAAGGACTATTCACCAGATGATAAAGTCCTATGGCTGACTCAGTTCATAGGAATAATACTGCATTGAAGCATAATACTGTACAGCACGATGTTCTTTGTGCATCTATCTCTGTCTTTAATTTACTTCAGCAGGAATCACTCCTAGATAGCAGGCTATTCATAAGGAATGCAACAGAACTAGTCTGCAGACTGGCAGATAGAGGCTATTTAGTGCCACATTTATAAATATATAAGTACATGTATTAGTATTTAGTAGTGTTCTGTTCCTACTGTATACTGCAGATGAACAGAATGCCAACAGAGAGACTTCTCACAGCAGGCCTACTGCTGTACACCTGCTCCACTATAAATGATTGGCAACCCAGCCCTTCTCCTCTCTCCTCTGCCTACTCTTCTCTTCCATCACCACTTCAGTCCTGCTGCCACCGTGATCCATCATTCTATTATTTTCAGTTTACTCATCCCATCTCTACCCTTCATTTTCAGCTGCACAGTGATGGTGTAAAAAAAAATATATATATATTTAAAAAAAGAGTCCAGCTAACTTCAAGACTAGAGCATTATTTCTCAGCCACCTTTCAATTCCTGGGGCTCTCAGGAACTCTCACAACCGGAGGGAAGAGGGAGAGATAGATGGATTATTAGGGAGGAGGGGAGATGGATGGAAGTGGAGGGGAGAGCAGGCATTAGTCTATTTATTCCGCTCATTCCAATTAATTCTTGTGTTGTTATTCACTGTCCTCTCTAAGGACTGTAAAGGGCTGTGGTTTCAAACCGGTGTATATTTGGCCTCTAGAAAGATGTTAATACCAGATCAGTTCTGCATTTCTGCTGCAGTTTCTGTCTATATAAAAATATAATAAGGTCTACTACTTTCACTTCTCTCCATCACACACAGATACTTCATAGGCCCTTGTAACAGGAATTTCCAGGCGAACAAAAAGGAGAGCAGACATTGATCAAATCAATCACAAATCAACCCGGTTTATTACAAGTTGCATCATGGAGACAGCTCCAGAATAGGAGCAAAGAAAATGTCTAATTATATTAATCACACAGCGCCGAATGTTCTGTAAACACCAGGAGGCTTGTAGGAAGTCACAACATCAGCTGCTACAGAATCACAGATACATTATCAGTGTGTCCTTGAATCCAGTCTGGAGTCAAACTTTACACAACATTCAACACTTGGCAGACATTTGATACAGTTCAAAGGTAAGAACATCAGTACACAGTTACAACAGATAATGATAGAGTAACAGGTGCCAAACTACTTAATTAAATATGGTACTTAAAACATCCATGGTTAACTCCTTTTTCCATTCCCCAAGGGAATACATCTGTCTCCCCGCACATATAATCATGTTTATTACATATCAATCCATATCCACAGTAACTCAAATACAGGAAAATAATTAATCAAATAATTTCCCATTACAGCCCTACTCATATTTTAAATCAGTAGGGCTCTGTAAATGTAAATCAAACAAGCACCAACGCGTGCACACTCAAGTGTAAGTAAAGTATAACTTTATAATAAGACTACACTTTCTCTTTGTGCATAAGAAAATCGGATCCTGCTCTACACAGCCTTTAAATTATTCACAGCTTACGCTCTTCGGAGCCCTAACAGAGAATTAATTTGGTTAACCGGCACATGTTCAGATAATCATCTCTTTGCTACATATTCACGCTTGTCTCCATGGCTGCACGCATGTAAGAGAAGCTTTGAAATATAAAGCATTCCTATAATCTTCACAGCATAAATTTGACAACGTTTGCAAAAACAAGACATGCCAAGACTTCAAAGACCAGAGAGTTTCAGCTAAACATTTCTCAGCATAGGCCATCAACACTGGAAAAGTAACGGCCTTCAAAGAGAACACAAACACACAGCTATTTTCCACGAGAATTAACCGATTTAATCTATCTCCTCAGTTATTCAGGGCAATTAATCTTGGTGAAAAGGGAGTGAGATGGGATGAAAAGGGCCTTTTCAATTGGAGGTCATTGATTTACAGTCAGATAGTAAACATGCATCTCTGCAGTTAGTCACGCTTCGCTAGCCTTGGCCTTATTTGTGTCCCGATTGAGACTGCCCGATTGAGACTGCCCTAGATATCTGTCAGAGACCCACAGAGTTAATCCTGAAGAAGTCGTTAGACCGTACCTGACTCAGGGAGAGCTCGTCTTCATCATGCTTCATGGTCTGATGCTATAACAACCTAGATGCTGTAGATTGATCAGGTCAGTCTGAATGTTACCTCTGAGGCAAAGTGAAGGAGCAACAGTGCTCAGACATGGACGTGGGGGTGCAAGCCTCTTGTTCCAAGTGGTTGGTTAACCATTGCTTAACTTCAGTGTTCCAGTCAACGTCTAATGCGCTGAAGCACCACTTGTTATGAACAGCTGCCTCTTGGATCTCCAGCCACAGCCACTTTACAGTAAATTCCTCAGCACACTCATACAATGTTCCATGGCTGCAGGCTTGGACAGCAAGCGTTGACAACCCAGGGGCGGACTGACCTGAAATGCCAGATGAACTGGTCAATTTTTAGCCCAGTGGGCCTGCCTAACTTGGGTTTTTAGCAGAAAGAAATGGGAAAGAAAGGAAAGAAATGGGCTGGTGTGGGGTCCTGGAGAAAAAAATGGGCCTGTGAGTTAGAAATGCCAGGGCCAATTTCAGGTCCCAGTCCGCCCCTGTCCGCATGTTGGGATTGTAATAAAATGCAATTTTTACAGTATGACAAAAACTCAAGACCATATAAATTCCTACAAACTCTCTCCCAGTCCCAGCACTGAAAGAGTGCACTTTTGCTTTATCCCAGAC